AAATTCTACAAATGTGACCATGGAAAAAAAGTTGAATTTGATTGTCCAGCTGGGCTTCACTTCAACAAAGTATTACAAGTCTGTGATTGGCCTGGAAATGCTGGATGTGAAAATGTAAATCCTAATCCAACTACAAAATCAACTCAAGAACCAACATCTTCAGAAACTCCAAAACCAACTCCACCAGAAGACAGAGATCCAGAATGCCCATGGCCAGATCCTCTCAACTACACAGTTCATTTACCACATGAAACCGACTGTACGAAATTCTACAAATGCGATCATGGCAAAAAAGTCGAATTCGATTGCCCCAACGATCTCCATTTCAACCCAGATTTAGAAGTATGTGATTGGCCAGAAAACGCCGGATGTGAAGACCCAAACCCCGGTCCCTGTCCTTCAGAAGATACCGACGAACCTCAACCAGAACCAGAACCAACTTCTCCCTCAGATCTTGACCCAGAATGCCCATGGCCCGACCCTCTTAACTACACCGTCCATCTCCCACACGAGACCGACTGTACGAAATTCTATAAATGTGACAATGGTAAAAAAGTCGAATTTGATTGCCCAAACGATCTCCACTTCAATCCAAAATTGGAAGTGTGTGATTGGCCTGAAGATGCCGGCTGTGAAAATCAATCAATTCAATGCCCGGATACGCAATGTCAAGACACGACACTCTATTTACCGGTTTTGGGTAATCAGAGAAAATATATCCGATGTGTAGGAGGCGTCGAAGTGATCAATACTTGTCCAGGAGGTTTAGTCTTCGACAAAAATTTGGCCACGTGCAATTTGGAACACTTGGTTGTGCCAAATTAATCATTATTTATTTCCTTTTATAGTATGTAATTATAATTAAATAAAAAATAAAATTAAAAATTGCAAATTAATTGTGATGCACGAACAAATACTATAAAAGAAATTGAAAACGAGGTAAATAAATAAATAAAAAAAATTTGTGACTTTTTTATTTGATTTAATTTTAAAAACAAAATGCAATATTAATGCCCCACTAAACTTACAAAAAAAAAAAAAAATTTCAGTCACACCTGTGACTTACACAACTCTATTTGCCAACATCCGGTATCTTAAAGAATTGTGCAATAATTTGTAGAAAATCAAGACAATAAATAGATAAACGCAATGATCTTTTAATTTTTGTCAATATTATTGTCACCCCGGATTATCATCAGATAATATTCCTAGATTATAAAAGAAAATATTTTTTGTTATTACAATTGCGGTAGTTCATATTTTTCTTATCTACAGGTGCGCCAGAACTCGCACCCCAGAGAAAAATGCCATGTATGGTAAAATACCAGGAACATGGAAAAAATGTTAAAAAAATTCTATCTATAAAAATTTCGAAGTTATAAGAGTTTCAATTTTGCACTTTGGCTCTATTTATTTCAGTAAATTGTAACTACGCAAAATTTTTATATCTTTACCAAATAATTATAAAAAAACATACAAGGTGTCCCAGCGAGTTGAAAAAGTCCATTAGTGACCTTTAAATGGTGGAATTAAAAAAAATATGTAAAGGACTTTGATAGATACTAATCTAGTCGCCTAAAATTATTTTCAACTATAGAGCGTGTCTCAAAAGGAAGTTACAATACAATTTGTATTTTTTTTAAATGAAACACCATATGTTTTTTAGCATTTTTGGATGTAGATTTTTATGTCAATGTTTTTAAGCTAAAGTTTTATTGGTTGATTTTGCTTTGTTTTAAAAATAAGAAGGTTTTTTTTTGACGAAAACATGCACTTTTTTAAAATTTATTACACAAAAACTAAGACATCTAGAAATATTTTTTACTACCGCAAAGAAGAAGGTACAAGCTATAGCTTGTAGGTTGTAACATTTTTTTAGTGTGTTGCATTTGCAAAGATAAAAAAATGAAGGCGTTTGTTAAAAATTCAATAATAAATTTTAATGGAACACCCTATTTATTGTTTTTGCACTTAAAAGATCATTAAATTGTCTTTCTAAAGTTATTTACTTTAAGGTGTTTATAATCAATAACTAAAAAGTTATTTAACGTTAAACATTAAAAAAAAATAGCTATTGTTTAAGTAAAGAAAAATCACTTAATAATCACATTTGTGTTAAACTGAATCCATTATTCTTTATTTTTACAATAAAATAATTCGAATTTCAGTATTTATAACAATCTCTGGATATCAACGGATAAGTGATCCGTGGTGGAATTACTATCAACAATGCTCAGATATTGATAGGCATTGTTGCTACAATTAATATTGAATGTTAAATATTATTTCATTTATTAATTCTAGACATTTTAGACAGACAATTTATCAATCTACTAGATGCAAAAATAAAAAATAGGGTGATCCATTAATTTTTTTTAAGTTATTTAACTTTTAACAAACTTCTTAATTTATTAATCTTTACAAATGCAAAACACTAAAAAAATGCTACAGCTTTAAATTCTGAACTTTCCTCTTTGCAGAAGTAAGAAAAAATTTCTTCTAGTTATTGTCTATTGTGTAATAAATTTTTAAAAAGTGCATGTTTTAGTCAAAAAAACGTTTTATTTGTAATTGTGAAACTAACCGAAGTCGACTAATAAAAGATTAGCATTAGCAAAAACATTGCTTTAAAAGGCTACATCCAAAAATGCAAAGAAACATTTCATTTAAAATTTTTGGAACATGCTGTAGGGTTGAAAATAATTTTAGGTGAAGCACTAGATCAGTATCTATCAATGTCCCATAGAATTTTTTTTAATTTTACCATTTAAAGGTCACTAATGGACTTTTTCAACTCGCTGGGAATTCTGTATTTTTCCTTCTATTTATCATGATATTTTTTAATAGTTTACTTTTTTTTTCAGTCACTCACCTGAAATACATCTTTAGCAGACTGGCCACCGAGTGTATATCCTGCAAGATATCCTCCGTATACAAATTCGGTATCCTATCCTCATCAAAAGCATTTCTCAACTTCTGTATATTCGATGTGACCCCCGAGAGTCTATAAATCCCATCAACAATCCCATGCTTCTCAATAAACTCCGCACAACACTTCAACACCATCGGTATATCATGTCCTGAATTCAACAGATGCTCCCCCAAATCACACCCAAAAACCCTCTCCTTCAAAATCCCCGATTGTTTCAACCTCCTCCTCGAGGGACGATTCAGGATAAAACTCCGGAAAAACGTAATGAGTTTCCCGTGTTTCCTCAAAACGGGCTTGATCGGCGTAAGAGCCAACGAGCCGACCACAGGAGGCGGTAGAGGCATATTCCTCGGGACTTTATCGCCGATTATATGAACGCAATATTGGGGGAAGAACCCGACTTGGAAACCCCGTTTTCCACGCCACCACATAGACTCACCAGGAGCGGCCATGTCGATAACAGAGATCATGTCCCCCACTTCGAGATTAAGCTCGTCACGGGCCTAAAAACATTTTTTTAATGCACGAAGCGAAGGTGAGTGCGTCAAACCTGTGAAACATATCGCCGGACACTATAGGCCGCCGCCACCGCTGGGGTATTAATGGAGCGACTTTCTTCGCTTGGGACAAGTAGGCGATGGCCCTTGTTGTCCATCTGCAGCCAATTTAAAACCGGGCCGCAGTTTACTGAATTATCGACAATTTCGCTGAAGCGCTCCAAGTAGGCTTTAAGTTTCATCTAAAACCTCAATTGTCACACCAAAAACTACGAGGGAAAAATTTTAAACCCACTTCAAGCTCCTCATCATCCGGACTTTCGTTTGATAAATCCGGTAATTGGAAAATTTTCCGGTCATAGATGCACTGATGTAGCTGATCGTCCAGCATTTTGAAATTATCCAAATTCCTCTGTAACAACCAACACTCATCTCCGGACGTCACTTGTACCATGTACCATTCCGTATCGTCCTCATTACCTTAAAAAAACTCGAGTTGAGAAAAAAAAGTATGCGACTCGGGCGCAACTCACTGTGTTGCGAATGCAGCGATTGGTCAATATTCGTCTGCAATGTGATGATTAATTTCGGTAATTGCACCCTTTCGTAGTGGAAATGGGCGCATTCTTCCAGTTTGGGAAAACGGCAAGGCTCCACCCCCGGCGCCGGAGCGCCCCCGGCCGCCTCCGATATCTGCATGTCAGTGGTGTACGTTTCCGTGCATAGTGCCTAAAAAAACAAGTCGGCTGTGAAATTACGCAAACAACATGTGCTTAACAAATGACTAAAACAAAAACAAATCGCTTGAGGTCAAGTAGAGTTTAACAACGAATATTCCTAATATTGTAACAAGATGGGATATTGGGGGTGGTTTGCTTTCAACCCCCGGAAGAGTGGAGCGGTAATTGTGTTTCCTTTGTGGGCTAATAACTGGGGTAATTGGGTGAAATAGAGATCTAAATATAAATAGAAAAGCAAACTTGATTATTATTCGGAATTTAATTCAAAAATACGTTCTTCAAAAAACACTCTGTATACAGGAGGGTGTTTCAAAACTCGCGTCCCAGAGAAAAATGTCAAGTAAGACTAGATAATATGAAAAAAAATTTGAAAAAATTCTATCTATAATAATTTCGAAGTTATGAGAGTTTCAATTTTGCACTTTGACTCTATTTCTGTTGGAAAAATAAAATTCCTAGTTTTTTTGCTACAGGTTATTAGAAGAGGAAACAAGGAAGCTGTATCGTAAATTGTAACTCTGTTTAATGTTATTTATGCCTTTTATTAGTAAAACTTTTGTACCTTTACTAAATAATTATAAAAAAAATATACAGGGTGCACCAGAACTCGCGCCCCAGAGAAAATTTTCAAGTAAGGTACCAGGAACATAAAAAAATGTTCAAAAAATTTTGACATTTATTTTTTGACATTTGACATTTTTTTATATCTATTTAATGATACTGATGATCTTGAATATGTTTTTATTTAGTAAAGGAACAAAAATTTTGCCAATAAAAGCCACAAATAACATTGAACAGAGTTACAATTTAGGATACAGCTTTCTTGTTTCCTTTTTTAATAGCCTACAGCAAAAAAACTTAGAAAATTATTTTTCCAACAGAAATAAATAGAATCAAAGTGCAAACTTCAAACCCTCATCAGATAAAATTTTTTTAACATTTTTTCCATGTTCCTGGTATCTTGTCTTGCTTGAAATTTTTTTCTGGGGTGCGAATTCTGACACACCCTGTATACAGGATGTATCAAATCACTCAACATTCAAAATACTTTTTTCAGTAAAAAACAATTTCTATTTTTTTTCTTGTTTATTGAATTACATTTTTTTTTGCTTATTTAAATGTTCATACCACATATTTGATCTTTTTGATTTTTTTCTTATAAAATTTTTATTTTTTTTTTTCGTACAGTTGGAGACAAAATAGTTTAGTCGTCACTTTTCTGACACTTTATTATAATTCAAGCTTTAACGTTAAAATGAATGACAATTTCAAATTAATGACAGCTATTTCCTATCAAAAATATGTACACACAACTTGTCAACTATGATTGACAGTAGCTAAAAAATATGGTTAACAGTCCTAAAGCATGCTTTACAATTTACCAAAGTATTTTGTCTCCACTTATACTTACTTTTTTCTGTATTATGAAAGAATATTTTCAGAAAACTGTAAATCGTTCTTTGTTAAATATAAGACTCATAAAAGTCGTTGACGATCATCTTTTTTATTTTAGTAGCAGTAAACTCCCGTCGAATAATAAACTGAAGCGATTTTAACCTCAATTTCACCACCGTAAAAAAGCTTTCTTCTAAATTGGTCCAAAAACATGAAAACAATTTCACCTTGTATGAGTATAACAATTAAATAATTTTAATGTTTTATTTCTATTACAGTCGTACCAACTTGGAATTTATTTGAGACCACCTACGCCACTGTAAAAACCTGTTATTGTTTATTTATTTACACCTTTAATTACTCTACAGGCTGATTCAAATGTTACAACTGTCTAAAACTGGTCATAATTATGCCAGAGTCGCCTCAGATGAGTCACCCTGTACAAGAAAATAGAAACATGACTTTCGGATTCCTACAAATTCCGGTCTAGAAAAACAGAAAACACTTGCAAATAATTTATTTCAGCACAAATACTAACCATAAAACTGAAAATGACTTATTTCCGTTTCATGTATCTACGTTTGAAGCTGTTTTTCATTTCATATTCATAAAAGTGAAACAAAACAAGAGTTGAGTAATTTTAATACTTCCTTGTCTATTAAAATCCGATAAAAACTTTTTAAATATCCTTGAAAAGATAAATCCGTAACAAAAATGCTATCAACGCGTCCAAACAATCCCGATTTAAATTTAGAATTTCAAATCGTAGCCAACTTTACATATTTCATAACATTTAATTCCATTCAATCGGAGAAAAATTCAAATCGTCTTAATCATCACAAATAAATTATTTATAAACATATGTTTTGAATACAATAAATAATTATAAATTATTGAAGAATTTGCCTGGGACTCACCACCCCACGTGACCCCAAGCACACTTGATTCCCTAAATCAAAAAACAATACCACAACAACAAACACAAGGCACCGCCCCCTTAGTGGCGGCAACTGACTTTAGCGAAATTTACGCAGAACATGTCGTCGGAGGCAGAACAGGTGAAACAGGAGCACGTCATCGGGAGTTGGCGGGCGTCGCCGCCGCCACCACCGAGGCCGCCACGAAATCCAAGTTAGGAGCGGCGTCGCCGACTAAATGTGAAAGCGAAAGCGCCCCCCGAAAATATCGAGCAGATGCGGTGCGCCGCGACGCCGACGCCAACTTGATCGATACGGATTGGAAGGCGGGAAATACACTGATTAATCGCAGAGAGGGAGAGTGAGAAAAAAATACTTGAAATGAGAAAAAGTTTGCGTTATTAATTAAAAAAACATACAGGGTTGTTAATTAAAAAATTAAATTAAATTTTCTACAGGCTGATTCAATTTTACAATTTTCAATTCATAAGTTTCAGTCGACACAACCTTCGACTTAAATAACAATTTTTCTACAGCGTGAAATGTTGTTTTTTTTTTATATTTCATGACAGGAAACCCTTTCCAGTTGAGACATCCTGTTCAAGTAAATTTATTACATACAGGGTGAATCAAATTTCTCTTTTCGAGTTTTTTTTTGTGTAAAAATTCCATTTTATGGTAGAACAAAACTACTTCAAGCATTTAGTAATAAGTAACGTTTCGCTAAACGTCTAGCATAAATAAACAACATTGGGTTCAATGGGCGTCCTTGCGTAACACTTCTACAGTGTTCTAATTTTTATGGATCCTGTAACTTTAACAGTAGTTGAGGAAATACTACTTTACATTCAGTGATAAAATTATTTTTCTTTGATTAACTTAAATATAAAAAAAGTTAATTCTCGAGTCTAGAAATCATCTAAATATTGCAAATTTCTTCGAGTTTAATTTGATAAACGTTCCAAGTTATCAAACACTCCTAATTAAACCACCCGCAATCAATGTAATTGAATTATTTCAGCGACTATACCAACTTCCGCTTTCGCTTCGACGAGAAAACCTCCACTTTTTCCACATAAACACAAATAAACGAAAGAAAATTGTGCAACGACGTTTATTTTCGTTACAAAACACGAATTGGGAGCATCAAAATCAGGTCAAGGAAGAAAAATCCTCCCTTGGTGATTTTTTCAGAAGGGTGAGAGTCGGTCAAAGTAGAAAGGAGTTAGATTTTAAATAATACAAAAGTTTAAAATTAAAATTAAATAAACGAAAATAGAAAGTGTCAATGGTAATTAAGGTTACGGCTGGCTGAAATCTAGGATGAAAAAATCAGAATAAAAAGAAATGGCAGGTCATACAGATGTTACCTAAAATCTTGTCTTGTTAGCGCAACAATTCTTATCTTATTTTCCCTCTGTTGTGCAAAAGAGGAAGTTATTTGGGCCAATGAAAATCAAATAAAATGAAAAAATAGAAAACACTTGATTCTTATTATTGAAAAGACAAGGACACATTTATGCCAAATTTCAATGCTCAAAGAAGGAGAGAAAGTAACAGACATTTTTCTATTTTCTCTAATTACAATCTAAAGTTTCGTTTAGCATTAAAATAATTCAAATGAAAATGTAATGCAAGTTAAATAACAGCTGTTTATTTAATTTAATTAATAATTATGCAAAACATAAACGGAAATAAACGTTGCTTTAATTGCTTTCAGTTTAATTAACGATTGGAATTTTTTGCACCATATTTGGCCAAAATCTTATTTGCTTCAAACAAACTGAAATTTATTACTGTTGTAATTCAGTAGCCGAGAATTCGACGATAACATCTCCATTATATTCTTTAAAATTCCACATTTTTTCATCGTGTAATTATTAATTAATTTGTTAAACAATAAACACTTTAACGCCTTTTTTTAGTTTCGAAAGAAATCGTAGATTTCTCCACTTCTAGGTTAATTATCTCGTAATGTTTAACGTTTTGATTTTCAAAGCCTTTTTAAGAGAAGTTTATTGATATTCAACCTAAACCTCGCTAATTTTCGGTAATTAACAACCAGGTCGACGACCTAACTGTAGCTGTCAGGCTTTTAAACAAAATAAAAGAATTCTTTTTATCTATTTTTTGGCTCGTGGTCAAAAAATTAGTTTCATAGCCGGCAGTGCGGAAAAATAACGGTTAAATAATTAAAAAATCAGATTTTCCCCCCTTTTCTCATCTATTTCTATCCAACATCCGCTATTTCACCTGCACTTCCCCCAATCAAGTGTGCGCTTTTCAATGCTTCATTGATGTCATTTTCATGTAAACAAGTGAATGCTAGTCAAAGCCGACTATCTATTATTTGTTCGCCAAATGACTCAATAGTTCAATGAACATAATTACCCTCGAACCGATTCAATTGTTTTGATGATTAACAACATCGACGTTTAAATTGATTTGCAACGAAAATTACAATTAATTAAGACGAATTTAATGCGGTTTCACGCACGATAAAAATTCAACTAACCGTTTTTTAATTAATTAATAATTAATTGATAACGTCCCCTAGTAAATCGGAACAGGAAGTAGGCCAACGTAAACCTGCTGAACCAATTCTGCCAATCACAAAAACTCAAATCCCCTTTGCGTGACATTTTCATGAAAAGGGGATAGTAAATGTCAACGGCCTCTCCCCCATGAGCCCCCACAATCAACCTAAATAAATCAATTAAAATTTTTCAATGTCTATGAACATGTGCTGCATGCTGAATTAGATTCGGTCTGTTACGGTTAAATATCGCACCCGAGCGTGGAATTTTCGCCGTAACTGGGCCCAAATCGGGGTTAGGGTCCCAAATAGGGCCCAAAATAAATATTTGAATTGATTAATAGGAACCAAAATAACTAAAGCGTATCGAGGAGGCGGGGGATGAAAATCTAGAAAAAATCTCAACGGAAACTTACAGGACAAAGCTCAGGCAATTTTTACACGAATTTTTTTGCACATTTTCACACACAAAAAACAACAAAACTTGAGCGTTAGACACAGATGTAACAAACACAAACTTTTATTATGACCGCCATCTTACCTCATTTGACGTTTGAAGCGGAGCGCCCTCTGCAGGGCTAAAACCAGCGGTAAGTTTAAATTTAACATGAATTGTTGGTTGCCTATACTATTAATTGTAATTAACAATTTTAATTAAAAATTATCACTTGCACGATGAACGCACTCCGGTTTACATCAAACACGAAAAATGTGGCACTTACCAAAATTCCAATACCGGCAATAACTCACCCGAAAGAAGTGTTAATAAAAATTGCTTACTCGGGGGTTTGTGGGACCGATTTGCACATAATTAGCGTAAGTAATAATTTATTATGTACAATTAAATTAATTGGTAAATTAGGGAGAGTTTCCGTGCAACTCCCAGGTAACCCTCGGCCACGAATTCTCAGGCACTGTGGTGGCTTTTGGCCCCTACGTCACCAACCTCACCCCCGGCGACCTTGTAGTAGTCGATCCAAACAGCGGTTGCCACAAATGCCGCTTCTGTCACTCCGGTAAGCCCCATTTTTGCCCATCTGGGGGTTTTTATGCCAATCTGGGGGTAAAAAACGACGGAGGATGGGCCGAATACTGTCTTTGTTGCGTCGAACAAGTGCACAAACTGTCTGGGATTCCCCTGAAAACTGCAGCTTTGGTTGAACCCTTGTCTTGTGTAGCACATGGATGGGACTTGATTTCGCCCATTAGTGTTGGAGAGGAGATTCTAGTCGTGGGGGCTGGTATTATAGGGATTTTGTGGACGTGTTTGTTACACTTGCACGGTCATAAAAAACTAACTCTTGTAGAAAAAAATCCGGCTAGAAGAGAATTATTAAAAAAGTTGCAACAAGAATTGGGTTTTAAACTCGTAGGGGCTTTAGAATTGGTCGGAAAGTTTGACTTGATCGTTGATTGTACAGGCCATGGTCCTGCAATTGAATCCGGAGTGAAACTTTTGAATTTCGGCGGGAAAATGTGTATTTTTGGGGTGGCGCCACCTGGCGATAGGATTGAGTAAGGGAAAACCCACAACTAAGCTTCTATTTACAGTTTTTTTCAGGGTTTCCCCGTTTGAGATTTATATGAAAGAATTGACAATAATGAGTGTGAAAGTCAATTCGTTTTCGTTTCCCAAAGCTATAGCTTTAGTCGAGGCGTTAGCCGAGCGGTAATTAATCCCGAATGGAGCGAATTAGACTCGATTTAGTGATTACAGGTACTTGGATTATGACAAATTAGGAGTAAAGCTTTTCAAATTGGAGGAATATCAAAGAGCTATCGATTGTTTGAAGAATGGGGTAATAACAAAAGCGGTTTTTCAAGTTTAATTCTTTTCGAATCTGGCAATAAAATTACTGAAATAAATTGTTTATTTGTCCCCAAAACCAAAAAAAAGCTAGAGTAAGTCGCAATTCCATTACTATTGAACGACTTTTTCACATTTTATGGATAAATAAAATACTTATAAAAGTATCGATAACAAGTACATTTATTTAGCAATTCATAATATTTACATAATCAAAATATATGAAAATAATGTTGGTACAAGTCAATAACAAACATTTCTTATCTCATACCAAAGTTTTTGTTATGATTTATTACGATGATTATTGATAATTGAATATTGATTTAACAAATTAGTATCACGTTACAAGACAGTACTATTCACTAGTTGAGTGTATGATTTTTAATCAAATGGCAAATTATTAAAAAAGTGACGAATCATCAAAGTTATGTCATAAATAATCTCAAATCCTGGCAATAAATTAACAATAATAAGAGATTAATCTTTTATTACATAACATAATTTCTGTTTTATATTATTAAACAATAATAACACGAAACGTTATTTTATATCACTTTTTGTTGAGACAAATAATTAAAACAGGGTGATTCAACTAAGATTTCTCTTTCAAGAGGGCGCTGGATTTCAAATGTCATTTCAAAATTTCCCACTTTTATGTTAATACAACAACAAATATTTATTCATTCATAAATATTTTCGCAAATAAATAATACAAAACATAACATACAACTTCAAAGTAATTGACCTTTTACGAAATACCACGGCCCCCTAGCAAACGCGAAGGGTCATTAATAGAGATAATAAAATTATCACATTATTATCATTCACGTCACATCTCAACATATAAATAAAAGTCGTTTCACAAATTCTAACACTTTTCTACCAACTTGCAAGTGTTACCAACCATGGAGGCTCTACGCTACACCGCCAAAACCAAGAAACTTGAGTTGACCAAAACCGAAATCCCTAAAATCACTAACCCGGATAGTATTTTAGTCAAAGTGGCTTATTCGGGGATTTGCGGAACGGATTTACACATAATACAGGTAACTGTAATTTAATAAAACGCATTTGTTTATTTGGGGTGACTCAGGGTGAATTCCCGTGCAACCCAGACCGGACTTTCACCCTAGGTCACGAATTTTCGGGCACTGTAGTCGAGGTCGGATCAAAAGTGAGCAACTTCAAGCGCGGAGACCGGGTTTCAGTGGACCCAAATAGGTAAGTTGGCACCACTCTTAGATTCTACCTACATTCAGAGTAGTGGTTGTAAATGTTGCAAGTTCTGTCATTCGGGGAAACCCCACTTTTGCAAAGTCGGAGGGATTAATAATACCATTGGGATTTACCGGGATGGTGGATGGGCCAATTACGTGGTTTGTCCCGAGGAGCAGGTGCACAAATTACCTGATAGTATCACACTAGAGCAAGGTAGGTTTATTTCGGCCATTTTGTGTCTCTGACGCCATTTTGTAGCCGCGTTGACTGAACCGGTGTCTTGCCTGGCCCACGGATGGGACATTGTGAGTCCCATCCACGTCGGGGATAAAATCCTAGTGACAGGAGCGGGAATTATTGGGAATTTGTGGGTGTGTGCCCTACATCTTCAAGGTCATAGAAATGTCACTGTTTCCGAACCGAATGCATCACGATTAGAGATGTTGAAAAAACTGAGTCAGTGTTACCAACCGTTAATTTACCTTGCAATTAATTAATTAATTGCAGATACGGGATTCAATTTAATTACTCCTGATCAACTGAAGAAAAACCAAACCGCAGACCCTAACTACCTCTTCGACGTCGTGATCGATTGTAGTGGGTTTCCCCCAGCTGTCGAGCATGCAGTTTCCCTTTTGAATTCCGGCGGGAAATTGTGTATTTTTGGGGTGGCTCCCCCGCACGGGAAAATTACGTAAGTTGGTATTAAATTTTGAAACTTTGGTAATTTAATATTGGTAGGATTGCCCCGTTTGATATTTACATGAAAGAGATGAAAATTTTCGGTGTTAATATTAACCCGTTTAGTTTTCCCAAATCGTTGGGTTTGTTGGAAGCTATGGGGGACAGATATATGAATTATAATCTTTTGGGAATTAGGACTTTTGCTTTAAGTCAGTACCAGGAGGCCATTGAGTGTTTGAAAAAAGGCACGATTGCCAAAGCAGTATTTAAACTGTGAATTTGTTGAGTGCTAGTTGTTGAATAAAATAATTATTGTTGGAAGCTTTTTGTTTTATTGCACTTTCTTTGCATTTATGTATTATTAAAAAAAATAAACATATGTATTTATAAGAAATCCATCAAGTTTGATTCAATTCCGACCCATTTAGATAACAAACTTATTTAAAGAAATGTTCCTGAAATACACAGAATAATCGTTGATTTATCTCTGAATTGCGGTATTTCAGCAACATTCAATAAATTAAAAAGATCTAACGCAGTTTTTCAGTCAATCCATCTTGACAAAAACACACTTATTTTTAACTGCAATAAAACTGTCGTTTTAGACCTAAATTGCGTTTTTTGTGCCAACTCAAAGAGATTTTTCAGATTTTGTTTGTTTTTGAAAAATTGGAAATGGAAATATAAGAAATATATCGCATTTAATTCATTTTCGAGCGAATTAACTAACTAACTTGGTTTAAAAGAATTTTCCTGAAAAAAATAGATAAATTGATGATTTGATTAGGTATGCCTGAATTGCTGTAGGTATTTCAGCTAAATTCGATTGATTGGGCGAAATTTTCAAATCAGTTTCGATCAATTCTGCTAAAAACGCATTTATTTAAAAAAAAATGCCACCAACACTGGCTGAAAAAATCTTGTTTAAGATCTAAACTGCTTTTTTTCAGCCAAATCCAAGCTAAATGTTTTTATAAAAAAAAATAAAATAAGTATAATTTCTGTTTCAATTCCAAGTTAGCTAACTAACTTATTTTAAAAGAAATTGCCTGGAAAAAAAGTGATTCAACTCAGTTTTTTAACCAATTCCAATCAATTCATCTTGATTTTAGGCCAAAAACACACTTTTTTCCATTTGCTAAATCTGTCTGGAAGGAAAATTATCGTTTTAGATCTAAAATGCGTTTTTTTCAGCCAACTCTAAAACATTTTGTTTATTGTTCTTAGAAAAAAGGAAAATTAAATATAAAAAAATCTATCACTTATAATTCATTTCAAATATAATTTATTTTAAAAACTTAGTTATTTTAAGAAATTGTTGCCAACACTGACTGAAAAATTCTTGTTTTAGATCTAAATTTTTTCAGCCAAATCCAAGAAATTAAAATTTTTTTTATTAAAAAAGAAAATAAAATAGGAACAAAAAACTTATAATTTTTGACTCAATTCCAAGAATTTTAGCTAACTACGTTATTTTAAAAGAATTTGAAAGAAAAAATAAAAAAAATGATGATTTATATCTGAATTGCAGTATTTCAGCTAAATTCGATCAATTTAATGCAGTTTTTCAGTCAATTCCGACAAATTTACACACTTATTCTAAGAAATTTTACTAAAATGGGTAGTAACAAAAATTCCGACAGAGCTAAATTTTGGTGGAGACCTTGGGTACACCATTAGAAATATAGCGTCAAAAGTCCCCATCGATCCCATGTGTGCTAAAAAAGTTATTATTCGGGGTCAAAGGTCAAAATTTGACGTTTTTTAATTTTTTTTCGAAAACGGCAAGTTTTTTCAAAAAAGTATCCCAGACAAAAATTATAAATCTTAAAATTATCTACAAAAATGGTCTTACACTTTTTTTCTAAGAATCACCATTCCTGAGATATCGCGATTCTAAGAGTTGAAGGAGTAACATTCTACATCATATGCACATACAGAGTGCGCCAGAACCCCTGTCTCAAAGACAAATGCCATCATGTAGGGAAAGGTTCCAGGAACATATAAAAAATTAAAAAAAAATCTATCTATAAAAACTTCAAAGTTATGAGTGTTTAAATTTTGCACTTTAGACTCTATTTATTCCTGTTGGAAAAATAATTTTCCAAGGTTTTTTGCTACAGGCTATAAGAAACGGAAACAAGGAAACTGTATCTTAAACTGTAACTCTGTTTAATGTTATTTGTGGCTTTTATTGACAAAATTTTTGTACCTTTACTAAATAATTATAAAAAAAAAACATATACAAGGTCATCAGTATTATTAAATAGACATAAAAAAATGTCAAATGTCAAAAAATAAATGTCAAAAATTTTTGACAGATAGAATTTTTTAAACATTTTTTCAATACTCTGAGGACTACCCAATTACTTCCTTTCAAGGAAGGGCGCAATTTTTTAAACATTCTGTATGTATTACCAAATAAATTCTTTTTAATTCTAATGAACTCGAGATATTTATAAGTTTAATGAAGTAGAAGAAAAATCTCAAGTAAGGTTGGATACCAGGAACATAAAAAAAATGTTCAAAAAATTCTATCTGTCAAAAAATTTTGACATTTGTTTTTTGACATTTGACATTTTTTTATGTCTATTTAATAATACTGATGATTTTGTATATGTTTTTTTAGAATTATTTAGTGAAGGTACAAAACTTTTGCCAATAAAAGCCACAAATAACATTAAACAGAGTTACAGTTTAGGAAGACAACTTCCTTGTTTCCGCTTCTTATAGCCTGTAGCAAACAAACTTGGAAAATTATTTTTCCAACAGGAATAAATAGAGTCTAAAGTGCAAAATTTAAACACTCATAACTTTGAAGTTTTTATAGATAGAATTTTTTTTTAAATTTTTTATATGTTCCTGGAACCTTACCCTACATGATGGCATTTGTTTTTGGAGCGCGAGTTCTGGCGCACTCTGTATGTGCATATGATGTAGAACGTTACTCCTTCAACTCTTAGAATCGCGATATCTCAGGAATGGTGATTCTTAGAAAAAAAGTATAAGATCCATTTTTGTAGATAATTTCAAGATCTATAATTTTTCTCTGGGCTACTTTTTTGATAAAACTTACCGTTTTCAAAAAAAATATAAAAAACATCAAATCTTGACCTTTGATCCCGAATAACTTTTTTAGCACACATGGGATCGATGGGGACTTTTGACACTTTATTCCTAATAGTGTACCCAAGACCTCCACCAAAATTTAGCTCTGTCGGAATTTTAGTTATTTGAAATGTCTATTTTGACCGAACTAGGGCTGTAAAATCGTCGTTTTAAATCTAAATTACGTTTTTTAACTTGTTCCAAGCAATATAATTTATTTTTAAATAAAAAAAACACTTCTATTTAAAAAATTTTGCTGAAACTGAACAATGAATTGTTTTGATTTTAAATTTTTGTATTTATGGCAATTTCAGGCAACTTATTAGCTCATTTTTAATCAAAAATGTATGTATTTCAACAGATTTTATTCAAATAAACCAAAAAAGTCGTCGTTTTGTAACAGTGACTTGCTCTTTTTCCTCCTGTTGTGAGTAATTTTATTTGTTATTAAGCGAGAAAAACTCATTTCTAAATATTATGACGAAACTGGCTAGAAAATTGCTCTTATCAGTCAATAGGCAGTTTCTATCAGGAATCCGAATTCAATAAGAATTGTTGTTCAACAAACTCACTGTTATTACCCTATTTCAATAAATTACAAACGATTTAGCTTGTTTTTGAAACAGTTTTTTCTTTAATTATCATTGAAGACAATCCAGTGGCCCAAAAACAAGTTCTACGTCAAACTTTATCAAAACTATCAAAATTCGCCTTCTACAACCATGGCCAACATGGAAGCGCTCCAGTTTTCTTTTAAAGAAAGAAAACTCGAACTAAATAAAATCCCCATTCCAGAAGTCAGAAATCCTTACGATGTGCTTATCAAAGTGGCTTATGCCGGAATATGTGGCACAGACTTGCACATTTTGGCCGTAATCACCAATCAAGTTTACCAACAAATTATAATTAATTAAATTTCAAGGGCGAATTCCCTTGCAGACAATCCACGGCTATAACCCTCGGCCATGAAATATGTGGCACCATTGTGGAAGTTGGTCCAAACGTAATACATTTCCGAAAAGACGACCAAGTTGCAATTGACCCCAACAGGCAATTAATACCAATTAAATTAAATTAGAATTAATTAGACTTGTAGTGGTTGCAAACGTTGCACCTTTTGCCACGCTGGAAAGCCCCATTTTTGCAAATTGGGATGCGGGACCAACACCATTGGGATATTCAAAGATGGCGGATGGGCCCAATATGTCCTCTGTCCCGAGGAACAAGTCCACAAATTACCACCGAAAATGACTATAGAGCAAGGTATTCCCAATTCCACCCATTTTTTGGTTAATGTGAAATTGTAGCGGTTTTGGCCGAGCCCCTTTCATGCATAGCCCATGGATGGGACATCTCTAGCCCTCTCACCATCGGAAATAGGATCCTCCTTTTGGGGGCTGGCATAACTGGGGCTTTGTGGACCTGTGTTTTACACCTCCATGGACACAGAAATGTCGTTATTTCGGAACCTAACACAATCAGATTGCAAATGTTGCGCAAATTAAGTTGGTATTACTGATTGTATAACCCCGTCTTATTGCTCAGTTTAGATACCGGCTACAAGATGGTGACACCTGAACAGTTGAGAAAACATGCGGAAAGAGACCCAGAATGTTACAGTTTTGACGTTGTGATTGATTGTAGTGGCGACGTTGGGGCTATAGAACAAGGATTTTCCATGATGAATTCTGGGGGAAAGTTAGTGGTTTATGGGGTGGCGCCGCCGGCGAATAAAATAAGGTTGGTATCACACTATCATAACCTCAAATCAAATTGGTTTTTAGTATTTCTCCGTATGATATATTTAGAAAAGAAATCACAATTATGGGAGTTAGGACGAACCCTTTTACCTTTAAGAAAGCGCTAGATTTAATTGAGTCTCTCAGTAGCAGGTGACTCAAATTCCCCTAGATTTGAGTTGGTATGACTGATCTAAATTACAGATATTTGAGTTTCACTGCGTTGGGGGTGAAGCCTTTTCTTCTCAGTGAGTACAAAGAAGCAATTGACACGTTAAAAAAGGGCACAATAATGAAAGCAGTTTTCCGGATGTGATTCATGGTGGTCATGGTTGTAGAAAAAATAAAGAAATCAACTTTTTTTGCATAAACTTAATAAAAATGCATAAAAGTAACGCTGTAAAGCATTTTGTTGCTGCATAACTTCCAGTTTTCTTATGTCTTCATGTGTTTGGTAAACTGCGTCAAACAAACAAGGTTGGTACCACTTTTCATTTGTCAGAAAATGCAATACTTTTTTTTGTAAACTGCTGTTGGTAGATGATTTTACTTTTTGACATCTTGGTGAAAAACTCTAAAACAAGAAAAGTACTAGAATCGCTATACTAGAATTTGTAAATTGTAGTAATTTGAAACATGTTGGGTTGGTATCGCAGTATCGCGTTACGTCCGGATATTCCTACGCAGACAGTGTTTTAACAGAATTTTGACACTTTTTTATTGTAAAAGTTTTAAAATACGAAAAACTGTGCCATGGAGAATGCCATGAATGATGTTACCCACACATTCCACAACTACGCGGTGAAATATGTGCAATTATTCTAAATATTTTCATAACAATTTTTGCGAGGTTATGATACATCGACTTATTTTCAAATTATTATATTACTGTCTACAATAATAAAGCTGCTCATTAATTTTTTTTTCAAGACATTTCTACTAAAATGTATTTTCATGCGAGATTTCTAAGGTACTACTTTCTGGGCGGATTTCGGCAACTTAGTTACTTTTCTGTCATTATCTAGACTATATCACAACCCAAATCCAACAACTGGGGCTTTTAGCTTTTCTCTGTAACTGTACGATATACAGGGTGCCCATTTTATCTATTCCCTCCTTAAATTTCATATGTAGGCAACTAATAATACAATAATTTGTTAATTTTTTGCTGTTGTTCTCATTATTATACATTTAAGTTTAAGTTTTTTTTTTTAAGTTTTCGATAGTCAAGCACCGACTATGATTATTCAATTTAGAATAATTAATACTTTACACAAAATAATATTTAAGAAATGTATAATATGTTGCCTATTTTTGCTCCTTCAGGCGGGAACAGATAAAATGGGCACCCTGTATTCCAATTCTTATACCGTGCGATAAAAATAAATAAATTAGAGCAGGCGACGATTAATATTCTACAGTTGCCAACACGTTGGCTGGAAATTTTCCACACAAATTGAAAATGACCATTCATCGTTTTCGTCTTGTACAGCATTTTTGTAATAACAGGATTGCCATCTGAAGGAGTTTAATCACCGCCTTCTCGAATTTATTAATTTTTTTCGATCGTACGGTACCTTTTAAGAAAGCTTTGGAGTTGCGTCTGTCAGTAGCAGGTGACTCAAATTCCCCTAGATGATTTGTGTTGGTACGACTGATCAAAATGAAAGATATCTGAGTTTCACTGCGTTGGGAGTGGTCATAGCACAGGCCATAGTTGTGGAAAAAATAAAGAAATCAACTTTTATTGCATAAACATAACAAAAATAAATAAACGTAACGCTATAAAGCTTGTTGCACAGTCGTTTTATGTGTCGCCATGTGTTGGTTAAACTGTCTCACAGCCCCAATTTTTTTCCCACAAAAGACACAACACCAGATTCGTTCATTCCGATTATTTGCACATTTAGGAAGAATTTTATGTTTTTGTTTGGCGTTGACCAATTCATGCCAATACAGTTGCCCTACAGGGGTTCGGCGATGACACTTTTGACACAAAGCGGTGTGTGTGTCCTTAATATGGTTGTTGAGACACGTCGTGGTGAAAAAACTCTGGTGGCAGACCTTGCATTCAACGTCATTTTTGTGCATGTGTACCAACATGTGTCTATTAAAAGAAAACAAATCCTCCAAGTCCTCCACACAAATATTGCAAAAATGGACCAGATCCACGAACTGGCATGCGGGGGTTACGTTGAGGGCGTATTCGTGGCCGTGGGGACAAGGGGGCGCATTGGAAACTACCACTGCCCTCCTTGTGTGGAAAATCGGTGTCCCCAAATAATCATGATCATGGTTGTAAAACCCCTTCTCGTCTTTCGGGAGGCTTTTTGTGTTCTTCTCCTTGATAACAACGTATTCAGGGACATCGAAAGCCTCCTCAATTTCGGGGATACTCCTGATGATGTTCCACATTTCGGAGTCGTATCCTTCAAACAGCTGTTTCACTTTAGACTTGATTTGGATCACCACAGGGGGCTTAATTTCCTGGTTGGGGACCCAATCAACATCGTCAATTTTCGATGACGGCCGACCTAAATTCGCACTTTAATAACACAGGAAAGTAGGATAAGGGCCCTGAACCTGATTTGAAGTGGCGTGAGCAAACTGTGAATAGCTGAAAATCACTTGGGTTCATCATCAAATTCAGGGCTTGGAGCCACGCGCGACGGCGGATTTTACAAGTCGGAAGAGTGAAAAATTCTATGTTTTTTGACAGTTGGGTGCCCCCCTTGCACCAGGGGACGAAACACCGCTTTTTAGCAGGCCGCATTATATTCATTTTGCAAAATGGGGGTTTATTTTGAATTAACAGCTGACTGTCAACGTCATATGACAAGTGACATTTGCAAGCGCCAATTTTAAAATCTTGCGGCAATTTACCACAAAAAAAACAAAATAAATAAAACGGATTTTACATAGTTGAGTCAAATTACTTACCTAAGTGTCATAATTCCATTTTAGTAAAAAACTTAGTGAATAAAGTCATCTTTTATTTGTTCATAGTGTATTATTGGTTGCATAACCGTTCAACCACCCACGATTAATTATTGCACGATTTAAAATAATTAAATTATTTCTTGTTTATACTTTAATCACGTTTGAGTAATTATATAATCTACGGCAAGTAATAAAATTACTCCAGACACGTACAATGTGATAAAACAATTTTAAGATAAAAAACAGTAGAGACGCTAAAACACCTCCAGTTTCAAAAAATGTCTCACATTATCATCGCACCTTTAAAAAATGTTAAAATCCCTTACGAATCTGCCGGAAAATTACTCCATGATCGTCTCAACTCATTTCCTGAAAATTCCATAGCTTTGGTAAGTCCAAAAGCTAGTGAAATGTCCCTCTAAACTGAATTTTAGGTTGAAAACTCTAATGTGACTTGGACTTACCGTGAAATAATTACCAAAAGTGAAATTCTTGCCAAGAATCTGCGAGAGCAATTGAAAATTACCAAAAATAATATTATTGCGATTGTTAGTGGCAATACTGGGAAATTTTGGGTGGCTACATTGGCAGCATTGTATTTAGCAGCGCCGGTACATTTGATCAATCCACGATACACGACTTGTCTGTAACTCCCTCAAATTTGTAAAATGTCGCTAAAATATTAATTTCCAGATGAACTGAAGCGATATTTTGAATTGTCAAAACCGAAATTAATTTTTTGTACTTTAGAGGCATTAGACAACGTGCTCAGTATCAAAAAAGAGTGTCATTTTATTGAAAATATTATTCTTTTTGATGATGGTGATGTAAACGTGAGCAGGGGCACCAACCGTTTTGTGGATTTGCTCAAAAGTCACTGTACAACTTTTGAATTTGAAACAATTGAAGATCTGGAGAATCAAGTGGCTTTTATTTGTCATTCATCTGGTACTACAGGTCTCCCAAAGGGGGCTATGATCACTCACGCCAACATTTGGTTAAATTTGTGTCACTCTAACGATGACGATTTGTACCCACGAACCCCCAATCCCATAGTAAACGTAGTACCTGTGTACCATGTCCATGGGTTTTCTCTGTCGTACACGTCCCTTTATCAGAGAGTTAAAATCGTAATTATGGATAATTTCCAACCAAGAGTTTATCTGGAAAATGTGCAAAATCACGGAGTTAGGAATTTGTTCATTGTCCCATCACTGGGCGACTTTTTGGCTAATAGCCCCCTTGTGGACCAGTATGACTTGTCTTCGGTCAAAGAAATCTATTTAGCTGCTGGCGTATTGAGAAAAAACACGGAGGAAAAAATCCTACAGAAGTAACAAACGCACGAGTCGCATACATAATTTTTGCTGCTTTTTCAGATTTAATATCGCGACTATACGTACCATTTACGGTTTAACCGAACTCGCTGCCGCCATATTTACAATGCCGGTTAATGGTGGCAAGCCTGGAAGTTGCGGTAAACTGACTCCGGGCCACCAGGTCAAAATCGTGGACACGCAAACCGGAAACGCGCTCGGTTGTAACCAAACTGGTGAAATTTGCGTCAAGGGCTTCGCCATGAAAGGTTACATTAACGATCCGGAGAAATCCGGAGAGGCGTTCGATCCGGATGGGTTTGTCCGGACCGGTGATATAGGTTACTACGACCAAGACTTGTATTTTTACATTGTTGATAGGATGAAAGATTTGATTAAGTATAAGTCGTTTCAAGTGCCGCCCCTGGAAGTCGAGCAAGTTTTGTTGATGTTTCCGGGAGTTACCGACGCTGCGGTGGTTGGTAAGCCTGATGAGAGGTACGGGGAGTTGCCAGTGGCGTTCGTCGTGAAGGGGGCGGACTTGGAAGAGAGGGAGTTGATGGAACATGTGGGGAAGTTTCTGGCGAAGGAGAAGCATTTGCATGGAGGAGTGAGGTTCGTGGAGGAGATTCCAAGAAACGAAATTGGGAAAATCTTAAGGAAAAAATTAAGAGAAATGCTTGAATAAAATTTTAAGAAATCGTTGGTAGTCTTGCTTGATTTTTGACGTTGAATCGACGAAACTTCCGATTTTCTTTCATTTTTTCGTTAGCAATTATTGAATTGCTGACAGGTCGCACGAAAAAGTAGTACAACACTTCGACGAAACTCAAAATACTGGCGCCCAAAAAAAGAGCAGTGCCGCCACCCATTGACACTAAAAATTCCAATTTAAATCACTATTAATTTTGTTATTAAATTGAGTACCGACTAGATCTAATTTTCCTCTTACAACATTCCTTTTGTAGCGTTCAGTGGGCAAACGCTCTAAAGCCAGTTCCACAATGGCGTAATCTTCAGGAATGCTAACCGCAAAAAACAAAATAAAACAAGTGTTCAAACAGTTGGCAACACCGAATAATTGGTAAATGACAATAGTGGCACTTGCAAAATGAAAAAAATTGGCTTTAATAAAAGCAGTGTTGCCAGCTCAAAACAATTAAATTCACCAGATCTGGGCTGAAAAATTACCAGTTTTACACTTATTTTCACCAAATTACAAGATTATATGGTTCAAGTTTTTTTAATACTATCAAAGATTCACGTTTTTTTTACATAAATCACGCAAATCTGCTCAAAAAGTGCTTAAACGCTTGAAAAATTCAAAAATAAGTAATACTATTTCATTTAGTCTAATTCTATAATTTTTTGACTAGTTTTTAATTGAATTTTGCGAAATACCGGGTAACAAAAAATCTATTGGCAACACTGAATTAGTGGTAATCCTTCTACATTTGTTATATCAGATGTTCCAGGTGACGGCTAAATCAGCACTCGCCCATCACAATTGCCTATAAAAGTTTGACGTTTGATTTTGAAAGTCAAGGTTGCCAAATTAAATTTTGAATTTGACACCAAATCATTTACCGTCACCCGATATTTACGTTTTTATTTAAAAAACGTGCTAAAATACTTGATAAAGCATAAATAATGACTTAATTTGATATTTTTTTGGTTTGTTTTAGCAAAATCTTGCAATTAACACTATTTTTAACCATATTTTGTATTTTTCGTTCTACTTTATTGACAAAATGCTCAAAAATACAAAAAAATAGTTTCATCATTTTTGACTGAATTTATTATATCAGTAATTAAAAAATCAAATTAAAAAACTTAATTTTACTAACATTTGGGCGAATACTCCATTAACAAAAAAATTTCAAAATACATTAATTTTCTGCTGGAACTACAGTGACATTTCTAAAAAAATCATCAGAAATTAGGATTTCTCCAAAAGTTTTCACCAAATCAAACTAGTATAAAAATCACCAGATTTGGTGAAAGTTCACCAGATCTGGCAACACTGGATAAAAGTCACATTTACAGGCACACACCTATCAATGTTGCCAACTTAAGTTCAAAGTCAGAAATTTTGATATTGTTTGTAAAAAATACCCAGTTTTGTCATCCCTGACCACAGCCAACTCCATCTCAGTACAGCTGGGCAAACAATCGCACACTAGTCCGGTCCTGTTGGCCCAATACGGCTTTAAAACAGACAATTCGTTGTAATGTTTGCTTAAACAGTACAGGCCCGTAATGTTACATTTGTTCTTCGGGGCTAAAAAATCAAATTGATTTTTTTCTAATAAGAAACGATTAAATTACTTGTGTTGGGCATTAGGTGGTGGGCACAATTGCAGATTTTGAGTTGAGCGTCTTTCCGACATTGCACGCAACAAGCGCTATAGCTATAGTAGCGATAAACATTCAAATCTGATTCATCCGAAAAACGACATTTGCGTTGTCGAATGCTCACATCTTTCACCTGAAAATGGTAAAAATTGCTTTAAACAGTTATTTTGATTAAATTAAGTTGGCAACGCTAGCTTGACAAGTCACAGGCCACTTTGATTAAAAATTTGAATTACTTCTGGTTGATTGTCAATCTCTTTGACCGCCAAGAACCTCCTATAGTGTATATGAGGGGTGACTTGTATCACATCAGTGGTCAGCGTCGTCATGGAGGGCACCTCCTGTTCCCCCAGGATATAAACATTCGCAAATCCATTAATCTCCAAGTACAACTTTCCAGGCCCTGTTTTAATATTCGATACCATCTTCAACTTCTTCATCTTCTCCTCTTGAATAGAATTAATCGCATAGCAAACCCCCATCTCCGTGTCCAGCGCCCCGAAAAACGCACAACAGTCAAACTCCTCCTCGTTCCACTTGCACTTTTTGAAAATCTGGCTGCAGTTGCTTCTCACAAGTTGGGAGAAGTGTCCTAGGTTGTCTTTGGCGCAGTCCTCGCTGGGGATTTGGGCTTCTGGGCCGCATATTTGTAGAGTGTAGAAGGAGAGGCCGCGGAAGTAGACTAGTTCTTTGACGATTTCGTCGAGGTTGTAGTCGTGGGGGTCGCCGTAGATGCTGTCGGTGATTTCGGCGATGCGTTTCTGGTTGTCACTTTCGCAGACGGAGATGGAGGGGAAGTGGGTGTCCCAGGGGAGGTAGTTGGTGTCGACGACGAAGCTGATGGCGTTGGTTTGGAAGTCCTCCCAGGAGGATTTGATTAGGAGGAGGGTGGCGATCCAGCTGAGGAGGCAGCAGAGAGTCCAAAAAGCACTAAAAAGACTTTGTCCTAAAGAGTTCAGAATTCTAACACTTGGAATTTCAATATTCTAGGTTTGTAATAATACAGGGTGTTTGTATATATTTTAACCACTAAGAGAATTTGTCATGAGAAGTCGAATTGAAGACCAAACAAATTCCGTATCCAAATTTTATTTTTGCAATTTCCCCCCTATGATTTTCAAGAGCCGTTCAGTGTGACTGTCCTTGTTAGTTGGAAGTAAAAATATCAATGAAAATAAATTGCATTGAATGTTGACTGTGAAAATTTTTATACAGAAAAAAGGAAACTTTTGTCCAAAAAAATTATCACTTGTTTACACGTGTCAGTTTAGTTAGTCGTTAATGCGCTTTCGGGTGAATTGTGCACATCGATTTGAAATCAAATTGTCAATCAAGTCAAACGCCAAATTAACTAGTGTACGGACATCACTTCCAAGACCGATTTTCACTAAATGTTTGGGCAGAGATCATTGAAGATCACCAAATTGGACCCCACATATTACCTCAACGTTTAACTAGTGCCGTTTATCTGGATTTTTTGGAAAATGTGTTGCCCGATTTGGTGGAGGACGTGCCCTTGGCGACACATGCGGTATTTACAAGTGGAGCTCCATCAGATTATGCCAACGTCGTCACCAATGTATTGAACAATCATTTTCCCTAGAGATGGATTGGTCGCCAATGACCACCACGGTCATTTAAATACGTGTGTTTTTTTGGGGGTTCACATGAAACAATTAGTGAATTACTGTACGCAGCTCAAATTTATACCTTCGAAGGGCTATGTGTGCGAACTCAAGCTACCCTAGTCCGAAGAGTTCAAGAAGTGTGCATTGCCAACGAATGACCACATTTCGAGCAATTTTTTATAATAGCAAGTCACTAACATTGACACTGATCTACCCTAATGTAGCGATAATTTTTTTGTCTTTACGCTGTTTATGTTCCAAAGTTTTTTCTTATGAATGATTGTAAACATCGTATTAAGACATAGGCGGGGACGGGTTTTCAGCCTCAATTTATTTTTAATTTTAACTCAGAAATGACATCGAAAGTTGTTTCTTTTGACGAGTTCTATTAGTGGTTAAAATATTTGCTCGCAATCCTCAAACACCCTGTATTTCTACCGTTTCAACAGTATACAATTTTAAGATTTCAATTATGATAAATGTAATTTTTAAAAATGTTTTAATGACGTCCATTAATAGAAAAAACCATTCATTAATATTGACATTAACAAATGGTTAATAAAAAAAATTCTACACATTTTTGACGTTTATTTTTTGACATTTAATTAATGTTACCAATGACATTCTTGTATATGTTTCTTTCATAATTATTCATTAAAAGTAAAAAAAAAAAGTAAAAACTTTGCAAATAAAAAGTTACAAATTTACAATTCAGAATACAGCTTCTTTGTTTCCTAATAGTGAATATGCAGCAAAAAACTATCTAAAATTATTTTTCCAATAAAAATAAATAGGGTCAAAGTGCAAAATTTAAACACCATTAATTTCGAAATTCTTCTACACAGATTTTTCTTAACATTTTTTCCATGTTCCTGGTACCTTTTATCTTACTTGCGTTTTTCTCTGGGACGCGGCAAATTCTGAAACACGCTGTATACTTATCTAGATTCAAAAACTTAAGATCCAAATGTAAAATGTTCGAATTTGAAGTTTTAAGATTTTAAGTTTTAAAAATTGTAGAATTGAAACATTTTCAATTCTAAAATTTTTAAAAATTCTGAAGGTTTGATTTATCGAAGTTTACCTAAAGATTCAAAGTAATAAAGTTTCAAGATTCAAGTCACCATTTCAAAAAAAAAACAAGATCCTACCGTTCGCAGGTTTCTATATTACATAAGATTTTAGATTTCTAAGCGGAAAAATCTTAACTTCAAAAATTCAAAATTTTAAAGCTTCAAAATTCTAAATTATCGTAATTGTAAATTAAAAAATATATTTTCCTTCATTGTAATTTTTTTGCAATATGAATGAAACATCATCAAAGATTTGAATTCTAGGTTTCTAATACCCAAGCAAGAATCTGTGATTTTATAAGATTAGTTTCTAAATTTCAAGCTTTTCTTATTTCTGTTTCTTGAGACTCAGATTTATATTTTAGAAACTTTTAATGATTAATTTAAGCTTAATTATTACGATTGTGATTATTGTTTTTATTAAAATTTACAAGTGTTACATATATTATTTTTTTTATAAAATGACGGAAAATTATTATTTACCGCTCAGTCCAGTGCCTTCCAGCTTCCGAAATATACCGAAAACCGTGAAACGAAGTATTAAGAAGGTAATATCGTAAAGGTGATGTTTCTTCACTCATTTTTGAATCACTGAATACATTCTACTGCAATTTTATTATCTATAACAGTCTTTTATTTGAGGTAATTGCTAAATCGATACAAATTAGTTCATTTCCAGCCAAATTCTATAGCGAACTGTTATATCATTGTTGAAAATGAGAAAAAAAACAGGTAATTTTTGGTCATTATCATCTCCTTTTGTGCTTTTGCTGTCTTCAATAATTCATGACTCACAATCAAAAATCTCACAATGCCACTAATTTGATAACTATTTTTTAAACCCAACTTACGTCAAATAATTTCCATTTAAATATTAAAATATTTCTTTTATCGGAAATTTCGAAAAAATCCAACTCATGGCAACTGAATACCTCGATAAGAAAATTCCTGAATACTTGTAAAATACTTCTAACTGTATAAATACGCCACAAGGAAAAATTGAATCAATCGGCCCCAAAATGGCTTCCAAAATCGTATTCCTGACACTTTTGCTACTAGTTTCAGCACATGCTTTAAAAACTAAAGTGTGTAGTATCCACTGTGGGGGCTCCACTGGTCCCACCACCGAGGATCCTTCCGGCGGTAAGCACAAAACCATTTTGTTGAATGTTTTTGCCAAATGGCAAGTAATATTTTCCTACAGGTGGCTCCAGTACCGAGGGTTCCGGAGGTACCACTTCCGGTAAGTCGCAGCACCATATTCGCTACCCCAAAATGGCAGACTGCACCGCCATTTTGTCAAAATACTAATGTGGTTTTTACAGGTGGCTCTAGTTCCGAAGGTTCCGGGGGTACCACTTCCGGTAAGTTACAACACCATATTCGCCATTTTGATTAGCAGTTGCCGTAAAATGGCGGACTACACCGCCATTTTGTTAAAAAACTAATGTAACTTTGTTACAGGTGGTTCCAGTTCCGAGGGTTCCGGAGGCACCACTTCCGGTAAGTTACTACACCATATAAAATGGCGGACTGCACCGCCATTTTGTCAAAATATTAATGGGATTTTGTTATAGGTGGTTCCAGTTCCGAGGGTTCCGGAGGCACCACTTCCGGAAAGTTATAGCACCAAATCCGCCATTTTAGCTGAAATAATTCTCAATTTTCCACAGATGGTTCAAGTTCCGGGTGCCCTTGCACCTGTAGCCCGGCTCCGGTGACGGAACCCTCAAGCCCGGAATCGACCACCAAGGATCACTCCGGGTCCGAGTCCGGATCCGACAGTAAATCGTCGGAAAATAGCAACGAAAGTGACAGAATTTTCGCTCACGGCAAACACCAAAAACTCGGTAACTACTCTAATATTAGTTTCAAATTGTTCCAGATTCTAATTTTTTTGGTAGGACATGGTAAAAGCCACCCTCATGCCAAACATAACAAACACGGATCGGCTAAAAGTAACCATCAACATGCCCATGATAAGCAGAACCATGAAGGGTTGAACAAGTTAGTCAACAATGCTAAACATTTGTTGGAAGCTGGAAAAAACAACCATAAAGAACATCTAAATGCGAAACATGCGCATGCGCACGAGAAACACAATGCGCACGCGCAGGGGAAACGCAACGCACACGTGCAGGGGAAACACAATGCGCATGGGAAACAGTACAACCAACACGAGAAACACGAACATAACTAAATGATTTGTTACCAAATGTGAATTTGAGGTTGTGGGATAATAAAAAATACAGAGCAGTTGTGTTTTTTCTCTTGAATTTTAACAATTAAAAAATAGGAATTTCGGAATTTTTACTGATAACACAAATTCCTTATGTTTGCTTCTAAAAGCAAAAAATACTTCGCGATAATGTTAGTTGTAAGTCGATTATGAAGACGAAAAGTGTGATTTTAGTGATTTTGGCTCTTTTAGGGCCATGCATTTGGGGTAGATTACATTTTTCTTCTACAAAATTAAGTCACATTTTTTTTAGCTCGGCCCCCAAAACGCCCCTCTCACGTCAAGCCCCGCCCCCACGACCACTCCAAATGTCACTACGTCGTATTAACAGAAGATGAGAGTGACAGTAGCAGTGACAGTGATGATTTTCCCGACAACGAAGTGCCAATCGTGGCCACTGCTTTCCCTCCGAAACACATCTATGACCCATTTTTGGACACAGAAGTCCCAGATGGGCCCTATTTTAACCCAAACCGAATTGTTGATTTTATCGGAATTAAACACCGGTTCTCAAACGAATCAAATTTGGCCTTTCCGCCGTATGCCAATATCGCAAGGAGAAAATCAACAAAGAAGAATAAAAAAAGAAATTTGAAAAAACACAACAAAAATGCAAAATTTTGGTGACTCGGCTTCGCCTAGTAAAAATAAAACACATTTTCAATTAATCATTTCTTTATTTATTTAAAATCTTAAATTTTACAACGAGATCTGGAATAAAATAAAGTGACATTTGAAATGTCAAATTTACGCCGCCGCCTCTGATGCGTCCGGTCCGTTAACTTGGGATTCATATTGTAGGGCATTCTCGTAGGCTTTTTTCACTGCTTTCCTGTCAGCAGGTTTCCTCGGTTCATTTGTCTTAAAAAAATGAAAAAATTGACAATCACAAAGCTACAAGAGCTCACCTTCGCCTCGTCCCTCTCCCTGTCAATTCCCAAAATCTCCAATTTCTCGGCCGGTAACCACTGCCACGTCCTCTTCGCATCAAAAAACAACACCAAGTACACAAGTTCGGTATAATTCGACTTCAAGGCTAAAACTTCGGCCGGGGGCGAGGGTATCGGTACCCCCTTATGTACGTGTCCTTTGGGCATTTCTGGGTCGATTATCAACGCGGGGTACCACGGATACCCTCTACATTTCGCCCACACTAGTTGCAAAGGTTTCAATTCGATTTTTTCGGACACGAGATCCGAATTTTCGGGCACCGTGTCCGAATTACTGTCATCCTCCGAATCGATTTCGGACAATTCGTGCGAATAACATGTTGATAGACTTGTGCCACTGTCACTGTTTTCGTCAGCGGAGGTCTGATGGCCGGCGCGGTACACCTTGAAACTGTCGGGGACTGATTCGAGCTTTTTCGCGTTGACGGTGGAGCCCACAGTCGTCTCAGGATTACGTCTAGGACGACCTTTCTTCTTCCTGAAAAAAAATTACAAAAAAGACCAAAAATGACAAGTATAGGTTTTATCAAGTTAAGGCACTCAGCTTCGCGTCGTGTGTCACTCAATTAGCCCACTTTGACTTATCTTTTGTCCCAGTGAGTTATTACCGTCGCTTACTTGATTTATAACAAAGATAAAACATATTTTTAAACAGGGTCCGTCGTAAAATCATCACAACCAACTACGATTCAATAATGAACACTTTGAATTTTCTTGTTGTTACACTTTTGTTTTCGTGTGTTTTCGCAGGTGAGCCAACTGTATAAAATAATAGAATAAAAATTTGAAAATTACTAGGTGATGGGGGCCCTTGCGGACCGTTAGACGCCTGTCCTGACGGTTATCAATGTTTCAACAGGCGATGTGATAACGGCTTGACTATGGGCATATATAGAAGAATTTATGATGATTATTACGACGACAGTAGCTCTGATTATAGTTTAAGTCTAAATAGTAGTGAAAGTAATTACACTATTCCCACTTCAGAATAATAACTCGGCTACGCCTCGGCTTCCCAAAATAAACATGTGACAGAAACATACGCATTTTTCTTTTCTGGTACTCCCTGTATATAATTAATTGCCTTGTGTTATCTAACCAAATTAATTACGAAAATTAACCCATCGCTTACTTGATTTACGAGAGTGATAATTTTTACGTGTGTTATTTTTAAAAACCGTCCCTCGTAAAATCATTTTCACTCTTCACTGAACCGTTCAAAATGAAACTCTCACAATTTTTGATTGCTACTTTTTTGTTTTATTGTGTGGCAACAGGTAAGCCAACTCAAAACTTAAAATAAAAAAAAAAATATAATTTTTTAGGGGATGGGGCTCCCTGTGGCTCTTTATACTCCTGTCCTGAAGGTTATCAATGTTTTGAAAATCAGTGCGTTGCCGGTTTGCCCCCACGAAGACAAATGCGAGTCGATGACAATAATCTAGTCTACTATGACTTAAATGACACTGATTATAGTCAATTTGTGAGCAGAGAAGGCTATGAAATTATCGAGAATATTAACAGCACGCTAGATTCGTGAAATCAATTTCTTGAGTATTTGCGACACTCGGCTTCGCTTAGTGACGCTAAATCGTGTAATGAACATTTTGAATAAATAAAAATGCATTTTTATTATCTTTGATCACCCCTGTACTCATTTATGTTTTTGTTTGAAGTATTTTCACTCAAACGAACCAATTATTATAAAAAAAATGATAGCAATAATGGCGTCTCATCGCTATTATTATGATAAAACTATCATTTAAATAAAAATAAACGCAATAACTTTGTGGTATTGTCATTGAAACGTCCAAAATGACAAGTTTAATACTTTTATGTTTATTTTTAGCGATTTCAGGTGTGTTAACGGTCAGAAATAAATCAAAATATTTACATATAAATTTGCAGAAGTGACACTACTTGAACCATGTGGTCGTTATCAAGCATGCCCTGAACCTTACACATGTTTTAACAGTTATTGTGACGATGGTAAGTCGATGGGTATGTACATCAGTCAGGACCTTCTAGATAAACCTGGCGATGATTATTGTCAAATACTGAGTGACCTATGTCAAGCCACAAACCCGATTTCGGGTAATTTATAAGTTGGCAACTCGGCGTTGCCTCGCCAATTGTCCCGATTCGAAATAAAATAATTAAAATTGACTAGTGTCATTGATTTTTTACTTACGGTTTGGGGGCTTCTGGGGGTGGAGTCTCCTTGTCTCCTTTTTCTTCTGTTGGTTTTTTCAACGCCGCCTGCGCCTTGCGGGTGAAAAGAACCGCAGTACGGCGATTGACGCCGCCTGGCGACACACCTAAAAAAAACAATACAAAAAAATTCCATAAAAAATAAAAATACCTGAACTTTGGGAACTATTCTTCGAGTCTCCGCCCCCCTCGTTCTCTCCGTCCGACTGCGAGCTATCCGTATTGGCCAAATTTTTCTTAGCCTTATTCAATTCGCTCCTCACCACTTTCACTCTTTTCGCTCTGGCCAATCCGTGTTTAAGGGCCTGACTTTTGACCAATAACTCTTCCAATTTCGTGATCACATCAGGCCCCACCTTCCCTTGTAAACTCTCCAATTCTTTATCGATATCGGACGCAAGCGCCTCCTCATTCCCCGATGCCGAATTTTCGCCACTCGCTTCGTTCAATAGACCGCAAGCTTCCAGTTCTTTGCGAGCTTGACGAAAGATGGCGCCACATTGATCGCGCATTTTTATGGCCGCTCGGTAGAAAACTGTATCTCGGTTATTATAAGCGAGACAATTGGCGATCATTAAATCGAAATCTTTCTCCATGGAGGTTAGGTCAGGATATAGACCATCGTCGAGTTTTTTTCTCATGGTACTCAAATCCATGGGCTCGGATACCACAGTGGTATAGTCTGGTACCTCCTCAAGGTCGACGGGTTCGCTGAATATCTCGTTGGTGTCCTTGGCGGCTACGAGATCAAGGACGAGGCGTAAACTCGCCTCGAGAGGCTTCAGCTGAATTTTTAGACACTTTTCGGAGATTTTTATCGATTCGAGTTTGATTTTTTCGCGCTTTCGGACCAATTCGCAAAGCAACCTATAAAAAAAATTTAATGTGATTTATTAACATTATTGTTATCACCTGGCCCGTTCCAGATCCTGTCTCAAACACTGCCAATATTTCAACTGCCTACACAGTTCGATTGTATCAACATTGCTCGTATTGGAGTCTCGAGGGCCCCCTTGGGCACTCTGGAGACGTCTCAAGAGGGGCACACCGTTTCGAAATTGCCGCTTTAACGTCCAATAGGCGATCAAACGTTGAATAAATTGCGATTTTTTCGTTATCGTCACCAAAGCACCGATTTCTTGAATCCGGTCCGGAGGAATGGTCGGAATGAGAATAACCGGAGCCGATGTTCGTTTTTTCGCTAGCATTTTGCGAGCTTTTTTCATTTTTTGACGGGCGTCTTCTTTTTTCGCCTCACCTAGTACACATTTAACACAATTATTGAACACCCCCTGTATATTTTATACAGGGTGGCGGGGTATTATACCCAAAAATTTGGCCAACAAGCGGCCTTTTCATAGTTGATGATGTATATAAAATTTTGGTGTTGCAGCTAAACCGGTTACAGAAGAATTTGTGGTTCAAATGTCAAAATTTGATATACAGGGTATGCTAGAACTTGCGCCCCAGCAAAAATTTAAGGTACACTAGGAAGACGGAAAAAATGTTCCACTGTTTTTATTTACATATAAAAATTTTCAAGTTATAAATTTTGTTTTGTTTTTTTGCTACATACTATTAGAACAGGAAACAAGAAAGCTGTATCCTAAATTGTAACTCTGTTTAATGTTAATTGTGGCTTTTATTGGGAAAATTTTTGTACCGTTACTAAATAATTATAAAAAAAAACATATACAAGATCATCAGTATCTAGACATAAAAAATGTCAAATGTGAAAAATAAATGTCAAAATTTTTTGACAGACAGAATTTTTTAAGCATTTTTCTAGGTTCTTGGTATCTCATCTTACTTGAATTTTTTTTCTAGGGTCTGAGTTCTGACTCTGTATTAGAATGTAATTTTTGTTTTTTACATGTTTAGTTTCGAAATGGAATTTAAAACCATCCTCTACATAACATACAGAGTGTAACTTTATGAATTTTTACGTCAACTTTATTTCAGTGTTGTTTTTATTTGACCTTGTTTAAAACCGATAAAAAATTATTTTATTTTATAGGTTATGTTTTGCGATAATCATAATATTTTAGAAACACTGTAAATTATATACTGGGTGCGACGTTAAACTAATATTAATATTTAATTAATCAATTAATCACGTAGACTTGGACGTGTGTTAATTTGATTTTGTGATAAAATTTGATAATATACAGGGCGTGGCCCCGAAACCTACTGCTTTCAGCCGGCGCATGCACATCACAGTAGGCTATTTTCTGTACGAGGACCGGCTGTGAATCCCCCGTGTCCTTCACTGTGTCCATTTTCATGTAAAGCCCCGCCTGTTGCGCACACGTGACATGAAACGCCGAATAGCAATTGGTCTTGTGACACTGTATACACGCCCCCACGCCCCTCTGTTTGCACACGTAACAAGTCAGCTTCCATCTTGCTGCTGGAATGGTTTCAATGGAATCTAAAAAAAGACTTTAATTTTTTCCCAATTGGTAACACTGTCAGACTTACCGATAGGTTCAAGAAAAACAGTATTAGCAAACCGCACTTCGGGGATCCACAGAGCACAAACAACGTGTGCCCAGTGCCCCCTGTCGGTTTGTTTGAAAGCGCCTCCTTGATTGGGGCACAGGACACAATCAACGGCCCGACTGGGCGATTGGAGACAACTAAAATTGATTGTTTTATTTCAAGTCGTAGAAAAAATAAATATGTACCGGCGGCAAAGCCACTGTCCTTCGGGGATGTAGGGGACCCCATAGCAGTCCTGGTGGACCGCAAGGTTACACATGTCGCAAAATAAAATAACATTAGTGTTTTGACACTCGCCATCCATGCAAATGCAACAGACGGCATCGTCGTCGACGACAGCCCCCGTGTGACCGTTAACTGAAGCCTGAAAACAGCCCCAGATAAAATACGAAATTTGAGATTTTTTGTTAAGTGCAAACCTGACCATTTACGTGATAGACCTTTAAAACAATACAAATTGGGGTTAGGGATTTTAGATTGAGGGGGTGGTAATACCTGAAAATACGACTCTTTCTCTAAACGGTCCATTAAGAGTTCCAGAGAGTCCACAGAGACGGGGTTGAGACCTGCAGTTTCGCGTTTTTCGTTCATTAAAGTCAACCAAGTGGTGTCTTCCTCATCAACATCATATTCAACCTAATTAAATCAAATCAAACGATTGTAATTAATTACAAATTAAATTACCTCTCCATCCAACTCCTCTACACTCTTCTCTATAAACCTGATGTATGCATTGGGACGTGGGGGGGCGTCACAGATGTTATAATTGTCGAGTTCTTTGAAACTGGCTTCAGGCAATTGTGCTGAAGGCTCTGAAACAATTTTCTTCAAAAACAATCAAATTTTCATTCAAATTCACCTTGGGCTTGCTCAAACCGTCCAGTATCCGGCACGTCATCATCCGACAAGTCCTCCTTCACCACCATATCCAACGCATCGTTAATATTCCACCGCAAAACCTGCCCATTGATATCAAACTGTACCATCTTCTGGGCCTCTTCAAAAGTCAAAGGTTCGGGCACACTTGGAGCCGATGGGACCGCAGCCGGCGTCGCTCTTGCCCTACCTTTCTTACTCTTGGGGGTACTGGGGGTGCATGGCGGCAAGGGAGTTGGGTTATCATGGTCGTAACTCTTCAAATGGTACTGTAACCCACACACCGATTTGTACGTCCGCCCGCACTTTTCTATAGGACACGTGTATGGGGGCCCATGGTCGGCTCGCACTTTCTTACAGTGCTCCAAAATATCGAAATCGATGCCCATCGCGGAGTGAGGTTAGGTCGGGTGCAAATCACAACACTTGGGGGGTTTGCACGGTTGGGGCGCCGGAAAAAAGGGGTTTTGGCGGCATTACGGCATAAAACAGTGAGTGTAATAAGGATTTAAGCGAGAAACTTGAGTTTATTGATGTTTTGGGTCAACATCAATACGCAGGGTAGCCAACTGTATTGATGGCGGGTGGCGGGTTACTATACCACTAAGGAAGTTTAATTAATTAAGATTAAGTAATTACAAGCATTACGGATAAATGAGTTTGCACAAGTGTGAAATTAGTCAATATTTCTTGTAAAAATTGGATTAATAATTTTTGTTTGGTTTGCCGATTTGGTGCCGAACGAAAATTCCCTAGATTTTTCAAATCTAAATTAAATTATTGCTGACTTAGTTAATTTACATGATAATAATATGTAATTGGAAATAAAACACTTCAAATATTTAGTTTTTGTTAAAAAAACCATCAAAGACAAGAAATGTCGTACTTTTTTAACGTATGGTATTTCAAAAAAATTTCAAAGGTGGTGACAACCTTATTAAAAAATTACTAAATCATTAATGGTACCATAGGCGTAGAATATGTAGAGGCGAAAGGGTTTTAATTCCATTAAAATTCTTGTAAAAAATACGAGAATGACATTTTACTTTGAAACTTTTGGGTTTTTCTAGTCTCAGCTATCGTTAATTTTCGAAAAATAAATAGTTTTTTCGTATTGTAAGGCGCCATCTGTTGACGAGTAAATGAATCAAAAATACTTTTTTCCTGCTTGCGCCGCACACACGCACGTGAGACTTATTGTTATAAATAGCTCAGTATTTGAAAGAAATCTGTGGCAACAAATCTCTCGAAGCAAATTTTCTAAAATAACTGGAAATTTCATGAAAAAAAATGTCTCGTTACAGCCGATCTGATCCCGAGATGTTAGACTACGATAAACCGAGTGTCTGTGCAAGTTTCATGCATTATACATGGAAAACAATAACGTGTCTCCTCTCGCATATAACTTTGGTTTCAATGGTGGTGTCTTATTGTGTTCTAGGCGCTTTCACGTTCGAAGCTTTGGAAGTGCACCACGAAAAAGATGTGAGTATCGTTTTGCGGCATTCTTAACGAAATATTTAGAGCGACAATATCACGAACGAAGGAATTTCTATTGAAATTCAAATAACGGCGGATAAATACGCGACGTACGCGGATGACATGGGGGAGGGTGCATATTTGAAAATGCGAAGGCATGTGGAAAAAGTTTCAGGTCACGTGCGAGGGAAACTGATGATTTGTTAATCACGATGCGACTATTTTGGGAATAACACTATTTAGTTCTTGATGATTTTCCAGATAAAGCGCAACATTAGCAAACTTCGCTACAACGTAACCTCCCACTTATGGAATCTAACAACTTCATTAGATGTCCTCCGGGAAGATAAATTTAAGTTGGGTGCTGAAACTTATCTGAAGGAATTTGAAGGTGCCATCCTTAAAGCCATGACTAAGGACGGTTGGGATGGCGAGGAAGACCCCAATATTGTCCAATGGACCAGCACTGGAGCTTTATTCTATTCCATCATTGTCATCACCACGATAGGCAAGCAAAAAACTACCGCTTTTGGCGCAAAACACAAAAAACAAATTATAAAAAATAAAAATATAGTCGATATTTTAGACAACTTGCGTTTTTTGATGCAAAAATTTAAAACAAAAAGAGCAGAAACAATTAAAGTTGTGTCACATAGACTGGAGGGAAGAATTTAGTCTTATTGTTTGATTATGACTTATACAGGGTATTCCGTTTTTATTGTTACAAACTTAACGGGTGATAGAATATTCAATTTTAAGACAAAAGTTTCCTATGAACATGTACCTATCAAAAAATGTTACGTAAGCGAGCTACACCCTCTGAAAGATATTCGTTTTTAATGGAGTTTTCCCACTATTGCAGAATAGATAAAATTGCAAGAGTTGGTACAGCTGATTAATTTTAAACATCTGAACGAATTTTATTTTATATTTTTATTTTCAAGAAAAATGACAAGATCTTTACCTTCGTTTTTAAAAAACGGAAAAAAATTACTACAATGAAAACTATTTAAATAATCAAGTTAAAAAAGTTATAAACACTTGCTGTATAAAATATTGTTATTTCAGGATTAAAATTTATCAAAATCTTAATTGTTTGAAGAGAAGCGGTTGAAACAATGCCAGAAATTGCCAGATTCGGTTCTGTTTATTTTATGTTAGTTGTTTAATTTCATTCCTGCTGTTTTTAAACAAAATACATTATTTTTAGGATATTATGCCAAGTGTTCAGTTAACATTCTTATATACTCGTTTTCATATTAATAGATATCGAAAGGGATCATGCAAAATGCGACCATGCAAAAATTTAAACAATCCTAACCTCAATCTTCCCCACAAATTACATATTTTTTCAAATACATAAATATGTACCCCAGGTAGCAAAAAATAATTAAAATTAAGAGCGTAATTAACATACGGTAGCAAACATAAAGATTTTTGTCGTTATTGATGTGATTAAATTTGTTCTTAATGACATTGATGACACATTTTGTGTGAATCAGCCTTTAACTTAAAGATGCATTTAGATTTCTCTAACCTACTTGATGCACATTAACATGAAAAAGAGTATATTTTTTGTTGTCAGTTTAATTTGAAAATCATAAGCTGCTTTGACCAGAAATTTAATTATTTCAATGTGTAAAACAGCCTTTAACTATAAGCTAACTTTTAGTGAAAATAGCTTAATAATACTTTTTTTTCTATTTTGTGTTTTTAATAACGCCATTAACGAACTCGTTTGGGTGCGTTAATAGTTTTTCATAGTAGGTACGCTAATAGACTAGTGCATTTTATGTTTTAATGTTGGTGACATTGTCATTTGAAGTAGGTAAATTGCTTTCAACAAACTTAACAATTCCTGAATTTTTGATGGCAAACATGAAAAAATCTTGGGAATGCATTTCCAAATTGTCACTTCGGTTTGAGTTTAATTTTCCAACGCCTTCATGAATAACACTACTACCAACTGACGCAAAATTCTCTAAAATAGTTTTTTTTTATTGCAAAAAGGGCAAAATAGAAAAAAATATATAAAATAATCGTTATAGAGAAATTCATTCAAGCAAGAGTTGAGGAACAAACGATTGTCGCATTTTAAATTTTAATATACTATTTATTTATTGTTGCAAAAGTAAATTGTTAAAATGTGTGTAGTCCTGGTTGTTCTAAAATATTGCGACTACTTTCTTATACAGAGTGTGTCAAAACTTGTGCCCCAGACAAAAATTCCAAGTAAGATAAGATATCAGGAAAATATTTAAAAAAATATGTCAAAAAATTTTAACATATATTTTTTGACATTTCACATTTTTATGTCTATTTAATGATACTGATGATCTTGAATGATTTATATGCTTACAAATCTAAAATCTTATAGAAAATAGAAACCTGAGAACGGTAAAATGTAAATTTTTTTTTTTTTAATCGGGACTTAAATATTGAAACTTTATTGCTTTAAATCTTTAAACTTCGAAAAATCAAACCTTTAGAATCTTTGAAAATTTTAGAATTTGTATATAATTTTATAATCATATTATACTTAATGTAAAGGATACACTGGCGGACACGGAATTTTGGACATCATATTTATGACAGTTCAAAAAATGTCAATGTAAGCCACGCTTTATTGTCATTATGATTGACGTTTGAACCTAAAATTTGAAAGTTTTACATAGTTGAAATTTATTTTTGGCGTCGATTTTCCGAAACAATAATGTCAGCAATATGTGTTTTTATATAAGATCAATAAATTATTTTAATTTGTTGTCATTTTTTCTCTCGCTCTTAGGATAAAAATTACAAAAACCGAAAGTGAGGTTAGTTGCCTAAAGCCCGTTTTACATTTTATTGTCAGTCGAATGACAAATCGTCCAAAATTCCGTGTCCGTCAATTAAAATTATTCTTATTATTATTATTAGAATTTGAAATATTTGTAATCTTCGATTTTTAAATCTTGAAATTTCGAAACTTCGAATTGGAGCATTCTGCTTTTGGATTTTAAGTTTTTGAATATATATACAGGGTGTGTCAGAACTCTCGCCCTAGAGAAAAAAGTAAGATAAGAACATGGAAAAAATGTTTAAAAAAAATTCTATCTGTCAAAAAATTTTGACATTTATTTTTTGACATTTGATATTTTTTTATCTCTATTTAATCATACTGATGATTTTGTATATGTTTTTTTTTATAATTATTTAATAAAGGTACAAAATTTTGCCAATAAAAGTCACATATAAACAGAGTTACAATTTTGTTGTTGTTTTCTCTTCTAATAGCCTGAAGCAAAAAACTTTGAAAATTATTTTCTCAACAGAAATAAAAAAACTCAAAGTGCAAAATTTAAACTCTCATAACTTCGAAATTTTTATAGATAACATTTATTTCATGGCATATTTCTTTGGGGCGCAAGTTGTGCCGCACCCTGTATTTATTAATAAATTTAAAATAAAAAATAATTTCGTAAGAATTAGATATGAGAAATAGTATTTTCAGCGTAAAACTCTCATATCTTTATAGTTTTGTAGCGTTGCACTGGCAGTAAAAAATCCTTATTTTCCATTTTCCGCCATTATTTTGCACTTTATAGGTACCATATCTCAACCCCAAATAAACTTTCCTCTTTTCGTCCTTATTACCCTAAAATTTTATTGCCGCCTCCTTTATTTCATCTAATTAAAAAGCCTCTCATATCTCACATTCCAGCCACTTATCTCTCTAATAAAAGTAAGTCACTCGAGTATTCCCCCGTCCAATTAAATTTTCATTTTCACTTGCGTCCAATAAAGGCAGTTCTCCACGCCCCAAGTCGCTATATACACGCCATCTTACACCGTAATTATAATCGCGACAATTTAATCTCTTATTGGATAGTCCATTCCGGACAATTAATTCCTCTTCCGGTAAATCGAGTCAGACTGGAAACAATTACCAAATACAAACACCTACGTGATTCGTAATTGTATCATTTCTACCAAGGTGTTGTACAAAAAGACGACACCTTCGCCAAGCTAAGAGACAAACAAAGAAAATGCAGTAGCGCACTGCTAGTTTCACAATTAAATAGTTTCCAACTTCGCGAATTAATCCCAAGAGATTGCGCCAACAAGATTCTCCTAGCGTAAAAGAGACGGCAATCGTCAGCGTTACCTCTTCAGGCAATCCATTTATAATTGAAAAACTTCCATGAACTTGGATAATAACACAATAATAGCAGCGAGAATGAGAAAGGGCTCATCAAAACAGGCCCGTAGCTAGAAACAATTTTTAAGTAGGGTCCCCAAAATTTTTAGTGGGGCTAGAGACGTTCTGCAGTTTTTTTCAGAAAAATCCTCGAACAGGTCGATTTTATTTTTTTAAATACTATACCGGTGCGCCATCGGTTACGCCCATTTTAACTCGCGACTTCTAATTAATAAAAATTGGCGATATTTCATATTATACAAGGTGATTCTTTTAGGGCCTATATTAGAAACTTCTAATGCAGATAGAAATTTGAAATTTTGTACATAACCCAAATCAATCAGTCTGAGTTCAACTAAATTATTTTCAAAATGGCTGAACTTCCGGAACTACGAGAAATTGGCGCCAACTTTGAAATTTTAAATGGTAACCAATTATTTTTATTGCATTTTTGAATTCTCCTCTCCAAACTGAGTAAAATGTACCTAGTTGTTAGTACTTATCTATCATATTTTTTGACATGTGTCAATTTTTTGCTCAAAATTTTCATTTGCAGAGGTTTATTAAAAACATCACAGCTCTTGAACCGTTTGCAATAAGTAAATAATTTTTCTTGCATTTGATAACCAAAGGTTCGAAGAGTTTCCTAAAATTTTCAAAATTGTCAACTGTCAAATTGCAAAGCTTATATGATTTTTTGAAAATGATATGTAACAAACAGCTATAACTCAGTTTTTTCAAATAAAATGACCCCATTTTCTCAACGGCAATCGAAAGTACATCGATTTGTAGAAGGACTTTTTTCAACATGTCCTATATCCATCTCTTACAGTTTCTGAAATAATCACGAAAAACGTGGTTTTGTTTTTTATTTTTATAGTAAATCACGTAGCCTTTGGAAAATGATCAAAACGAATTAAAGATTTATTAGTCTACACAACACCCATCCGGAATTACCGGCATTTAATAATCTTCAACCAAATGAACTAATGGAAGCCACTCAAATCAGTTCACCATCGAGTTTTGGACTGTTTGAAAATGGTAAACATATCGAACATCTGTATTAATTATAAGTATATCTTATTGTATTTTTCCAAAGCCTACGTGATTAACTATAAAAATAAAAACATTAACATGTTTTTTGTGATTATTTCAAAAACTATAAGAGATAGGTATAGGACATGTTGATAAAAGTCCTTCTACAAATTGATGTAGTTTTGATTGCCGTTGAGAAAATAGAGTCATTTCATTTGAAAAAACTGAGTTAAAGCTGTTTGTTAATGATCATTTCATTTTCAAAAAATCATACTAGCCTTGCAATTTGACAGACAACAATTTTGAAAATTCTAGAAAACTTTTCGAACCTTTGGTTTTCGAATGCAACAAAAAATATTCACTTATCGCAAAGGGTTCAAGAGCTGTGATGTTTTGAATGAACCCCTGCAAGTGCAAATTTTGACCAAAAAAATTGACATATGTCAAAAACGATGATAGTTAAGTACTAACAACTAGGTACATTTTACTTAGTTTAAAGAGAAGAATTCAAAAATGCAATAAAAATAAGTGGGTACCATTTAAAATTTCAAAGTTGGCGCCAATTTCTCGTAGTTCCGGAAGCTCAGCCATTTTGAAAATAATTTAGTTGAACTCAGACTGGTTGATTTGGGTTGTGTACAAAATTTCAAATTCCTATCTGCATTAGAAGTTAAAAAGTTTCTAATGTAGGCCCTAAAAGAATCACCTTGTATACCTAACTAATTATTGATAGGGTATAATTTGAGAATTTTTCTAATTTTTTTTTGATAATAAATGAGTCCGTAACAGTTTTGTGCGTGTTTCATGAATACTTTCTGTTAATTTACCTATAAAGTTTTTACACTAAATGAATCTGTACCTGTTAGCGCATCAAACTTTAATATCACAATTTCAAATTTTGAGTTGGTTAGCCAAATAAAATAATAAAATAATAATTTAAACACAAACCAGACCTTAGATTTATGACAAAATGATATAATTTGCCAACAAAAGAATCATTTACTGCTAGTCGACCGCTTTAAAGGCTCTTTTTGTTGTAAACCTTGGAATCTTACCCTAATTATAGTTCCCCATTGCACCTAAATTTACGATGGCACAAATAGCAGGTCATAAATAATAATGATTTTCAAAGTTAAGATGGAAAATTGCGTTTAATTCAAAATCTAATTTTTTTTCTGATTTTGTAAACAATTATAGGAAGTGAATCTGCGTAGGTCAGTATAAAAATTAGAATTAAACTTTTTGGGAGAAAATTACTTTTTGTTTTTTGGCTTTGTTTGTGAATGAAAAATTACCAAAAAATTAGAGAATGTACCTTACTAATGCCCAGGTAAGTGAAAAAAAAAGAAAAAAAAAACAAACTTAAAAAAAATAAAAAATAAATTTAAATAAAATTAAACACAAAATAATTTATCTTTGTGTCCTTGCCTTATTTTATAAAAGACAATTGTTTTTTGTATATTTTTTTTAACAATTAACATGGAAATACTTGGGCTAGTTTCTTAATAAATAAATAAAAAAAGTGACTTTAAAGTTAAAGTTAATTTAGTTTGTGAAATTTTGTTAAAAACTCTGTAGTAATCAGCATATTCTAAGCCGACTTTAATTTTAAAGTTCCTTTAATTCGATTATGAAACTGGCCCTTAATATGAAACCTAAACACAAATATATAAAAACAAAAAAACAATCAACCTTTATAAAATAAAACAAGAACAAGAAGATAAAGCTTTTTGTATAAAACTTTCTAGAAGATTTTGAGTTTTTTAATTTTTATTTGCTTTATTTTTTGAATTTTTTTATGTTTACCAGAAAAATAACGATGTGGGCTCAGAATATTCAAAGTAGGGCTTCTTACTTGACTCCCCTCCCACTAGCTACGGGCCTGCAACAAAATCGACAGAATAGAAGGAAAAAAAACAAACAAGATTCTCGTGGACATTTTTTTCATAATTAAACAAGAAGAAAAAATTACAACAAATTTTATTTATTTCGTAAAATATTTACTTTATTTTACTTTACTTTACTTTACTTTTATAACAAATACAGGCTGCGCCAGAAGTCACGACCCAGAGAAAAATGCTATGTAAATACTAGGAACATGTAAAAAAAGTTTAAAAAATTCTATTTATAAAAATTTCGAAGTTATGAAAGTTTAAATTTTGCACATTGACTATTTATTTCTGTTGGAAAAATATTTTTTCAAGGTTTTTTTGTTACAGGCTATTTAAGAGGATACAAGGAAGCTGTATCCTAAATTCTAACTCTGTTTAAAGTTATTTGTGGCTTTTATTGGCTAAATTTTTGTACTTTTACTAAATAATTATAGAAAAACATAGGTATACAAGATCATCAGTATCATTAAATAGACATAAAAATGTCAAATGTCATATGTCAAAAAATAAATGTCAAAATTTTTTGACAGAATTTTTATGTTCCTGGTATTTTATCTTATTTGAAATTTTTCTCTGGGGCGCGAGTCATAGAGTAAATTTTAAACTTCCATAATGACGAAATTTTTATAGATATAATTTTTTTGATATTTGATATTTTTTTGACATTGTTCTCTGCGACGCAAGTTTTGAAACACTATGTAATTTTTTTTTGAAAACTTTGCTTTCATATTAAATAAAAGATATTTTTAAAATGATATTTTTCTTTATTTAACAATTTGGAACGACGAATATTAAACACATTTTAACAATTTGTTATTGCTAGAATAAATAAAAACAAACGTGACAAGTGATAAGCGTTAAAATAGTTAAAATTAATTAAAAATCAATACAAATATTTGGTTTGTAACATTAAGCAGTCTTCTGATTTGTATTACAATTGCCTTGGAGCCCTCAATTTCCATTTTTGCCGGCCCTACTGAGCCCATAACCTCCTCCAACTCCAGGCCTCCCCCCTGTGGGTCTATCAAACGGCCCTCCTGGCCCAATTAAAATCCCATTTTCGGGCGAATGCACCGGCCGATTGCTAATAGGGCCATACTCAACCCGGCCACCTCCTAACCCAAACCCACCCCCAGGTCTCGGCCTATTAAACCCTCCCGGTCTTGGGACATCAACCGGCCCTCCAGGCCCCACTAAAACACCATTCTCGACGGAGTATTGGGGCCGGCTGGGCAAAGGGCCGCCAACTTGCTCGGATTTTTTCGTGGAGTAACAACAATATTGTTTGCCGACGTCGCAATGCCCGTAGGAAATTCCAGGAGAGTTACAGTTGAATTTTTCGGTACATTTGCACTTGTCGTAGTTTTTGAAAGGGCCTTCTTTGACCCAAGAGGGTACAGGGCCGGTTAAAATCCCCGTTTCGAGGGAGCTGTCGGTTGGGTGTTGGGGGTAGAGGTGGCCTTGGCCATAGTTGCCACCAATGCTGCCATAAACTCCCCCAGGTCTGGAAAAAAATGTTATCTAGGGATTTCGGAAAGTGGGAGATTTACCGGTTGGTGGGCCTGTACTGGATGTGGGGTCTTTCGTAGTAGTTTTCTGAAGGTCGGAATTGTTGGGGTTCATAGACTTCGTAGCGTCCTTCTCTGGGAATTAAATTTTTAATTATTTTAGAGTGAGAAGAGGGTTGGTACAACACCTGTCAAAATTTACACGACCACTGGTTTGGTCGCGTCTGTTATCCCCCCAAACCCATTTCTTATCGTCTTTGGCTAAAGACACGGCACATAGTGCTATAAGAGGAACTGAAAAAAAGTTGTTACTTCGAGTGTAAACTATGCTTTAGAATGCCAAACAATGCCATTATTAATTTAACGTAAGTTCATACGGTTGTGTGTAATTGTAAACGCGACTTTAGATAATTACGTGATATCAACAAAATTTTAAATAACACTCGTTTTTTGTTATTATTAAAGCTACATTTAAACTAAAAGTTGCAAGATAAATATAACTACATAACGCCATTTACAAAGTATAGATTGTAAAGGTTATTTTACATAACGAAATAATTATTGTAAAGCATGTTTTAAGTGTGGTTAATTTTATTTAATTAATACCAAATACAAGAATAATTTTGTTTTTGTTTAAAATGAAATGATTTTTTAGTTTTTAGTTTTTAGTGCCATACATACAGGGTGAATATAAAGTATGCACCCGAGCGGTTTTTTTAATCATTTGCCTCCAAAAAATAATAATTAATATGAATTAAAATAACATAAAAAATAAAATCGTATTTTGTTTTGTATTTGAGTTATGTCAAAATTACAATTTATGTACAATATTAAGAAAAAAAAAACAAATATAAAGGAGCTAGCTGTAATTTTTTTTAGGTCATAACCTTCATGAAAAAAATGGTTTTATAGTGCGTTACCATTTTTGTAGAACTCAGAAAGAAAATAAAATTTAAAACATTAAATTTTAATAGTATGTACATACTTTATCATTCATTAATTAGTTTTTCTAAGAAACAAAAAACGTGTGGTTCCATATTTTTTATTCACCTGGTATATCTTGTTTTAACGTTACGGTAATTGTCTTTAAAGGGTGTTTTAGACCAATTTATTTTTTTGAAAATGTGTAGTTTTCATTGCTTTTTTCTCTAAAAAATTGTTTACACGTCAGTTATGTTAAAATTTAGAATAAATGTACATACCGGGTGATTCAAAAGTGTAGGACCAACTATTGAATGGTGATAGAAGACTTTCAGCTAAGCATAAAAATCAATTCAGATTTTTATTTCAAGCTTTGTTTTTGAAAAAAAAACAGAATTATCAATTTTCATATTATCATGTAGACATCTTAGTTTTTTTTGTTTCCGATGTTGTTAGATTTAATTTATTATTAAATTTGCTAATTTGTTAAATGTTTTTGACAAATTGGTGATTTTTTTCAACAGGTAGCTGTTCAGCCTTACAAGATTTGCCGTTTCCGCTAACAAAATTCATGCATAATCGAGACGGCCAAAAAGTTAACCCAAAGTATAATGTTTGAAGAGCTATATCTCGTGAAAAAAAAGTTTAAACATTTTTTATCATAGGAACTTTTATCTCAGTTGGATGCCTTTTATCTCCACCCAAGAGATGGTCCAACACTTTTGAATCACCTTGTATAATAAACAGGGTGTCTATAATATACAGGGTGTCAGAACTGGCGCCCCAGACAAAATTTCAAGTAAGATACATGGAAAAAATGTTTAAAAAATTCTCAAAATTTTGGCATTTATTTTTTGACATTTGACATTTTTTATGACAATTTAATAATACTGATGATCTTGTATATGTTTTTTTTACAATTATTTAGTAAAGGTACAAAAAATTTGCGAATAAAATCTACAAATAACATTAAACAGAACTACAATTTAGGATACAGCTTTTTTCTTACCTCTTTTAATAGCCTATAGCAAAAAAACTTGGAAAATTATTTTTTCAATAGAAATAGGTAAATAGAGTCAAAGTGCAAAATTTAAACCCTCATAATTTCAAAATTTTTATAGATAAAATTTTTTTAACATTTTGTCCATACTTTTGGTATTACATGACATTTTTCTCTGGGGCGCGAGTTCTTGCGCACCCTGTATACTAAAGATAAGCTTTGACACTTTTTAGTTATTACGATTACGTTTACGACTAAAGTGTCTTTAATTGTCACGAAGTGTTGGTTTAGATAAAACCATCTTTCGAAGTTAGAAAAATCTCGATTTTTTTCTAGTTAAACCTATAACTATAATTTTTAAATCTTTTATTTGTAAATGATGATTTACACAAATATTTTTAAAATTTTCCGTGTTACACACGAAATTAAGTGAATAAAAAATTACATTTAATCAGCATAATAATGCAAACTTTATTATCTGTTTTTATTAAAAACTCATTAGAGAAATATTAAATTAGTGAAGCTATTGACATTTTAAATGTTTGCTTAGGCATTAATATTTTTTTTATTTCTAATTGGTTTCTTTAACTCTTTGGTTAGGAGTTATAATAAGCTTCAAAAATTATAAACGCCATGTTTAATTTAATCGGATTTGTTTCAATTATACTAATTAAAGAAAAAAACCAAGTTCTTAAAACTTACACAAAAAAAGAAAATTGAATAAAAAGATGTACAAATTAAGCAAGATAAAAAAATTATAACAGATTTCAGAAATTATAAAAATAAAAAAATCATTTCACAATGAAGTTGAGTGAAAACACTGTTATACAATGTCTTATGACAAGCACCACATTACAAATTAATGAGTGTAATAATAATAATATTTGACATAACTAGAAAATAACGAAGCAAAAGAATTTGTTGTCTGATGACTTGATGAGTGATCGAGTTATTCACTTTTTGATAAAATACCAAAGTTGATACGACATTATCTACCACAGTTATTTTATCAAAAAATATTTCAAATTAAACTATGTGGACAATTAGAGTTTTGCATGCTGTATAAAATTGTGTAACTTTAAAACTCTTGAACAATATCCTTAATTTTTGTTAAATTAAACTAGAAATTTTAATTAATGGGAACAATTCTTAATAAAGGAAAATTGTGTCAAAATCAAAACCATACACCACCCAGCGTGGGTACCCGAGCACCATGACATATTTTTCCATGATCAGTTTGATCATTGAACTATACTAAATGAGCGTAATTAATCAAACACTTTCGCAAATTACTTGCAAGATTGTTAAAATCTCAGGAAATCCGTTTTTTTTTGACAAAATCGAACACTCACCGAATTTCAGTAACATGTTTTCACTTTTCAGTACTGCACTTGACTTCTTACATAATCCAAAACAATAATACTACAGTCGCTTATATAGTAGAGGAAGAGGGGGCACATTGAACCCCCTCTGTTTCCCCCCGAGACAAAGACAGCATAACGAATTTAATTAAAACGTTAAAAATCTGATCGTGTGAAAGTGCAAGTGATCAGTGGTACCATACCGCTGCTTCGGTGGTCGAAAAATCAGACTTTGTTGACATTGACCTCAATCTGTCATCGTCTACGCAAAGTCGAATACGGTATTTAAAGCGAGCGGTTTGTTGCGATGTGTTGCAAACATCAGTTTTTCTGGTAGATGGTGAGTGCCGCTTTACAGCACCTAACTAGAGGAATTCCCATTGTAGTAGGCCTGGGTCTTTGGAGTAGTGACCCTGTATGTGTAAAGAATAATGGAGTAGAGTGGATATTGGGGAATTTTCAATGATTTGTGAAAAATTGTGGGACTTGAGGTCGATCTAGAATCTAGATCTTTAGTCGAAAAATTGGCATTTTCTCAAGGTTTTAAAATACAAGGTGTCTCACCAATAAATGTGGAAACCATGTTTTTATATGAGTAAAATTCATTACTGTCATACTTTTTTTAAATAAAGAGAGTTTTTCGTTTTTTTTTCAGTTTTGTTGTTTATTTTTCTAATAGTGGGAGTTGAGGTCGATCTAGAATCTAGATCTTTAGGCACAAAATTGGCATTTTCTCAGACTTTTAAGATTCAGGGTGTCTCACCAATAAATTTGGACACCACCTTTTTATTTAAGTAAAATTACTGTCATACTTTTCTCAGAAAAGTGTGTTTTTCGTTTTTTTTTCTTTTTTTAAGTTTTGTTATTTATTTGCTAATTGTGGGAGTTGAGGTCGATCTAGAATCTCAGGGTTTTAAGATACACGGTCTCACCAATAAATTTGAAAATCATATTTTTATTTAAGTAAAATTAATTACTGTCATACTTTTCTTAAAAAAGAGTGTCTTTCGTTTTTTTTTTTCTTTTTTTAAGTTTTATTGTTTGTTTTTCTAATTGTGGGAGTTGAGGTTGATTTAGAATCTAGATAATTAGGTCAAAAATTGGCGTTTTCTCAGGGTTTTAAGATACAGAGTGTCTCACCAATAAATTTGGAAACCACCCTTTTATTTAAGTAAAATTAATTACTGTCATGCTTTTCTTAAAAAAGAGAGTTTTTCGTGTTTCTTTTTAAGTTTTATTGTTTGTTTTTCTAATTGTGGAAATTGAGGTCGATCTAGACTCTAGATCTTTAGGCGAAAAATTGGCATTTTCTCAGGTTTTTAAGATACAGGGTGTCTCACCAATAAATTTGGAAACTACCTNAAAAGAGAGTTTTTGGTGTTTTTTTCCTTTTTTTAAATTTCGTTGTTTGTTTTTCTAATTGTGGGAGTAGGACGATCTAGAATCTAGATCTTTAGACGAAAAATTGGCATTTACTCATTGTTTTAAGATTCAGGGTGTCTCACCAATAATTTTGGAAACCATCTTTTTATTTAAGTAAAATTAATTATTGTCATACTTTTTTTTTAAAAAAGAGAGTTTTTCGTTTTTTTAAAAGTTTTGTTTATTTTTCTAATTGTGGGAGTTGAGGTCGATCTAGAATCTAGATCTTTAGGTCAAAAATTGGCATTTTCTCAGGGTTTTAAGATTCAGGGTGTCTCACCAATAAATTTGGAAACCACCTTTTTATTTAAGTAAAATTAATTACTGTCATACTTTTCTTAAAAAAAAGTTTTTTTTTTTTTTTTAATTTTGTTGTTTATTTTTCTAATTGCGGCAGTTGAGGTCGATCTAGAATCTAGATCTTTATGCAAAAAATTGGCATTTTCTCAGACTTTTAAGATTCAGGGTGTCTCACCAATAAGTTTGGAAACCACCTTTTTAATTAAGTAAAATTACTGTCATACTTTTCTCAGAAAAGTGTGTTTTTCGTTTTTTTTCTTTTTTTAAGTTTTGTTATTTATTTGCTAATTGTGGGAGTTGAGGTCGATCTAGAATCTCAGGGTTTTAAGATACAGGCTGTCTCACCAATCAATTTGGAAACCAACTTTATATTTAAGTAAAATTAATTACTGTTATACTTTTCTTAAAAAAGAGAGTTTTTTGTGTTTCTTTTTCTTTTTTTTAGTTTTGTTGTTTATTTTTTTAATTGTGGGAGTTCAGGTCGATTTAGAATCTAGATGTTTAGGCAAAAAATTGGCATTTTCTCAGGGTTTTAAGATACACTGTGTCTTACCAATAAATTTGGAAACCACCTTTTTATTTAAGTAAAGTTAATTACTGTCATACTTTTCTTAAAAAAGAGAATTTTGGGTGTGCTTTTTTTAAGTTTTGTTGTTTGTTTTTCTAATTGTGGGAGTCGGTCGATCTAGACTCTAGATCTTTAGGCGAAAAATTGGCATTTTCTCAGGTTTTTAAGATACAGGGTGTCTCACCAATAAATTTGGAAACTACCTTTTTATTTAAGTAAAATTAATTACTGTCATACTTTTCTTAAAAAAGAGAGTTTTTGGTGTTTTTTTCCTTTTTTTAAATTTCGTTGTTTGTTTTTCTAATTGTGGGAGTAGGACGATCTAGAATCTAGATCTTTAGGCGAAAAATTGGCATTTACTCATTGTTTTAAGATACAGGGTGTCTCACCAATAATTTTGGAAACCATCTTTTTATTTAAGTAAAATTAATTACTGTCATATTTTTCTTAAAAAAAGAGTATTTTTAGTTTTTTTTTCTTTTTTTAGTTTTGTTTCTTCTTTTATTAAAGAGATGTAAACTACAAAATCAAATTTTCAACCTTTTTAACTGTCTAGAAAGTTTTTAAATTTGTTTGAAAAACCCTGAAAAGTTTTTATCTACAATTTTTGGAATATTTCACCCATTTTCACCAAAAACAAATTAAGATAAGATATTTGGTAGAATATTGAGTCTATCTAATTTTAAAACAGTACCGACTTGGGCAAAATTGTTGATAATAGTCTGTTTTGCATATTAAACGCATCTTTCGAAGAGCACTTCCGGTGCGGAAACATAAATTATGTAAATATCTGAGTATTGAGAGAACTCGTTTAATTCCTAACCTTCCCGGTAATTATTGTTGAATAAGCGAAACAAAAGGTTAAATCTCATTATTCTTGCTACTTAAAATTTTTGATTTTAATGAAAAACAGCAGTGGCAATTTCCTGTACCAAAGACCTCTAAAATTTTTTCACGGTCTTAATGAAGTCATTTGGGCCTATTATTACACATCAATGCTAACCCCATTAATTACCATAATGTACGACGTGAAGGTCCACTTCCACTATCATTTTGTTCTATTAAATTTGATCGTTTTTCAAGCTAAATGCTCGTTAAAAGATCGATTTAATTTGTTTTCGTTTTCGTGCTATTGAACGAAAATTTCCTCATTTATTTTTAGAATGGAATTTAACTCTGGAGGAATAATTACACGCATTGTTACATATTTAAAATGAGTCTAAATTTCGTTTATTCGCTCGGTTTGGTTGTAATTAAAGAGAAAGAGAGAGAAAAAAATTATTGTGCCCACGCTTCGAACGTCATAAAAATATTTTTATTACGTCTTGACAAACTTGAACTTTAGAGATCCTTCGTAATTCTATAATTTGCAGTAAAATTGAGAAGGATAAAGCTCTCGGTTTATGATAAAATGATGAAAAAAAAAAAGAACTGAGAGTTACAGAGGACCAAACTGGGATAGAAAATTCAATAAAAATTATTTTCTGAGGATTAAAGACTTATTTTATCGACGGTGGATGCAAAATGAGCCTGGAACGGCTGAGATGATGTCGTTTAAATTAACTCTGGTTTTCCTTTTCTGTATTTGCAGATTTCTCGAGGTTTATGAAGTCATCATAATTGCGATAATTTGCCGGTTCCATTTTGCATAAATTGAAGTCCATTTCTTAGAATTTAATAAAAAAGTGCAGAATAAAGTGTTTTTTTAATCCTGAGTTAAATACAACATTTTTTTCAATATCTAATTTAAGGCTGAAATCCATTAAAGTAGCAGTTTTGCCGCTCATGACACTAAAATAATTTATAAAAAATATATAAAAATAAGAAGCTAAGAAGAAGAAAACGGAAGAGAAAAAATGAAAAAAAAGAGACCGAAAATTTTAAAAATAATGAAAATTGCAAAATTTTTGTGTTTTCTATTAATTAAATATGAAGGAAAAACAGCAAATTAGAAAATTTATTTTAAACATTTTTGAGCAAATTGATTTACCTCATTTCTTTGAAAATGAGTTTTGCATTTTTTATATTTCGTTGTTTTTAGTGAAAATTCTATGCAGGTTATGGCCACATTTCCCCCAAAACCCAGTGGGGGAAAATCGTCACAATATTCTACGCAATTCTGGGAATCCCCCTTATGCTCTTGTGCCTTTCCAACATCGGTGACATCATGGCCACATCTTTCCGGTTTTTATACTGGAGAGTTTGTTGTTATTTCTGCACCAAAAGACCCAAAAGAAAACGCTCAAAACGTGGAAGTACTCGAAGCAGTGCTCGGATGACTCCAGAGTAAGGAAAACTTTAATGTATTCCAAACAGTGTTGCCAGATCAAAAACATAAAATTGGCCAGAGATTCGAGGTGAAAAATTTGCTAAATTTTTACCAAATTACGATTGGTATGGGAAAATTTTGAAAAAAAAGCAGTTTTCAGCTTAAAAATCTGTTTAAACTTTTGAAAAAAGCAAAAATGACATGCTTTTTGGCCTAATTCTGTGATTTTTGGCTCGTTTTCAACAAAATTTTGCATTTCTAGCTAAAGAAAAACAATGGGATTCTAAACTTATTTTCTTGATTATTTAGTTCGTGTTAGCGGAATCTAGCGAAAAACCTGAGGTTTTAGGCTAGACGCTGGGCCATATAAAATTGTTTTCCATTTGCTGAGGTTATTTATTAACAGATTTTTTTTTAATTTGGCAATATTTATCGTAGCAGGCTTTCATTTTTTTTTAATAATTTTTTTAAGAAAAAAAAAGTTTATTTGACAAGGAAGGAAAAAAATCTCTTTGTATGCATGTAGTACTTTAAAAAAGCATTTTCTGGCTAAATTTTGTAGTTTCTCAGCTTATTTTTGTCTTAATTTTATTCAAAGATCAGTTAAATCAAGTGAAACAAACAAAATCACATCAATATCAATTTTTTGGTAAATTGTAGGCGTGTTTGGACAAGATTTTGCAAAATACATGAATTTCTGGTTCAAAAATAAAGTAATTTTTTAGCAATATTTTGAGCTTTTTGTTTTTATTTCTCAAAAACATGCTTAAACATTCAAAAAAAGACAAAATAACGACGTTTTGAGCTATTTTGTTGAATATATATGTGGCTTGTTTTTAACAAAATTTTGCAGAATAATTGTGTTTCTAGCTGAAAGGGCATTAAAAAAAACATCATTTTGCGACTCTGTTTAGTAATATTTTGTAAAAAACAAATAGAATTATTTTTAATCAATTTGCAGGTTTTCCATTATTTTTTTTTAATTTCACGATAAAATCAACTTAAAGCCCAAGAGTTACGTATTTTTTTCATAACAATTTAGTGATTTTTGATACACTGTAGCACTTCAGCTTAAAAATCTGCTTGAACTTTTAAAAAATGAAAAAAAATATAATTTTGCGAAATAATTGCGTTTCTAGTTGAAAAACGTGCTAAAACTCTCAAGAAATGAAAAATTAATGTAATTAATGTAAAGAATTGTTTTTTGAGTATTTGGGCAAGATTTTGCAAAATAAATGACCTTCTGGTTTAAAAACGAAGTAAGTCTAGCAAAACAAGTTCAAAATAATATTAATTTTGATATAATTTTGTCATTTTTTAGTCTGTTTCAACAAAATTTTTTGAATTTTTTGTTTTTTTTTTCAAAAACGTGCTTAAATACTTGAAAAGGGCAAAAATAACGCTGTTTTTGGTCGGATTTGTTGAATTTTTGGATTGTTTTTTAAAGAAATTTTGTGAAATAATTGTATTTCTAGCTGATAAAGTACAGAGTGGTTATAAATCATTTTCATCTAGCCAGCTTTGGAATTTTTTGCATGTAAGTTTATACAGGGTGAATATAAAGTTTGGAACCAAGCGGTTTTATTTTTAATCATTTGCCTCCGGAAAATAATAATTAATGTAAATTAAAGTAATATAAAAAATGTGAACGTAATTTCAGAACGAAATTTTGTTTTGTTTTTGAGTTATGCGATTTTTTTTGTCAAAATTGCAATTTATGTGAAAAAATTTTTTTGAAAAAATTAAAAATAAAGCAGATAGTTGTAATCCTTAGAGTATAGCTTTTATGAGAAAAATGATTTTATAGTGGGTTGCCATTTAAAAAAATTAATTTTTTTGTAGAACTCAAAAATAAAAGGAAATTTCGAAAAATTTTATTCTTGTTAAATCATCACATTTTTATAGTACTTTAGCACTCATCAATTAGTTTTTTCAAAAAATAAATAGTTTAAGCAAAAAACGTTTGGTTCCATACTTTTTATTCACCTGATATGTGCCGCTCTACTTTTTTGAAAGCTCTAGTTCTGTCATTAGTGTCACTTATTAATTAATATTAAATTGTTGTTAATTAAACTTTTATTGTTTCAACTAATTTCCAATAATAATTAATAAGAATGTATACTTTGGAAGAAAACAAGTTGATAATTGGAGTCTATTTTCGAAGTGGACACTTATTAAACGGCGTTTTTTTAATTTTGAGTTAAAACAAGTAGGTACCCCTATTTTCGTAAAGCGGCATGTTTTATTTTACATGGAAAATTCAAAGCTGGCTAGATGAAAATCATTTATAACCACTTTAAATTTGAAAAACACAAAAATCAATTATCATTTTCATGTCTGTAAAAAAAAAACAAACGGAACTAATTTCAACCAATTTGGTTAAATTTTGACGAAATAATAAAAATTCTGGTTGAAAAACACTTTTTTTCATTTTCAAAAATCATATATTAGAATTTTTACAAGAGTTTTCACCAAATCACCAGATCAGATGAAATTTCACTACAGCTGGCAACATTGATTCCAAAATAAATTAAATTTGTTAAACAGGGGGCGCTTTTCACGTTCGAGGAATCCTTCATTTCGAAGGTCAGTACGAACATCAACGAAATCGGCCGATAGTGGCTTCGGGAGATCCGAAATTGGTCACTACTCACATTCGGATACTGAATTGAGGTACTCATCAATGGTAATTAATTAAATAATTAAATTTTGTAATTATGGAGGTACCATGAGGATTCTCGCGACCAGCACACTTCCCGTGGATCCAGCCTCCCCCGTATGCGCCCCTCCCAAATCTCCCGGTTTTCCGACAGCAGTGTTCCCCAAAACCGGCGAAAGTCCTCCCAAACACGCAAAAGCGGGTCACTGGACCGACGCAAAGACCATGACATGATTGAAATGGATCCCATAATCCTGGCAAAAACCCCCATACTATGCAACAAATACGTGGTAGACAAAAACGAGATCACCTCCAATAACATCCCTGGGATTACGATGCGCGAATTGGAGGGACAAGGAGCCAAATCTCTGTCCCGCAATCCCCAGTACTTGGAACTACCACGTGCATCATCCCCGGGTTCCTCCTCACAAGGTTCCCGGCGAAGCCCAAGACCTAGGAGAAAAAAGTCCCCAGTGCGGCACAATCCCAGTCCCAAAATGATGACTCCTTTGGGATACGGACACAGGAGTAAATACCTCGATGATCCCGACTCCGAGGAGGAGTTCTACGAGGATGAGGACGATTACTACGAGATTGTGAGGACGAGGATTCGGCCGGTGCCCATCTGGTTGTGTGTTTTCCTCGTTGTTAGTTATATTGTAGCAGGAGCGTTTTTGTTCAAGTCTTGGGAGAATTGGGAATTGCTGGATGCGGCCTACTTCTGTTTTATTACTTTGACCACGATTGGGTTTGGGGACTTGGTGCCGGCGAAAGGGGTCACTCATGATACTCTCGGCGATGGGATTATTGACGATGTTGATGTGAATCGAGCGACGATTAGTATTGCGTTGTGTTCGTTGTATTTATTGTTTGGGATTGCACTCCTGGCGATGAGCTTTAATCTGGTGCAGGAGGAGGTCATAGCAAAGGTGAAGCGAGTTGCGAAGACTTTGGGGATTATAAAAAAGGACGAGGAGGATTCAGAGGATGAAGTTTGAGTTTACTAATGATAAAACAATTTGTCTTTTTTAGTCTTTAATAATAATTATTACGTCTGTAAAAAATATGTACTCTTTTATTCTTTAAGAAATAAACGACTTACGTTACTTTATTTTTTATTTTCTCAAGTCCGTCGAAAAAATTGCTACAAAAAATTATATTACAATTATATTACTAATAATTTTTTAAATTCTTACTTCACTAGTCCTGCTACGGTCTTAAAATCATCTTTGTTTCTTAAAAAAAACGTAAGTGAATGTGATAGGTAAGTATACAGGGTGTGTCAGAATTCGCACCCCAAAAAAAAAATAAGATACCAGGAACACGAAAAAAAATTAAAGAAATTATATACAGGTGCGCCAAAATTCGCCCCCCAGAGAAAAGATATATGTAACATAGGAAAAATGTAAAAAAATTCAATCTATAAAAATTTTGAAGTTTGAGAGTTTCAGTTTTGCACTTTGACTCTATTCATTTCTGTTGAAAAAATTATTTTCTAAGTTTTTTTACTATTATAGTAGTAGCTTAGCTATTAAAAGAGGAAACAAGGAAACTGTATCCTAAATTGTAACTCTGTTTAATGTTATTTGTAACTTTTATTGGTAAAATTTTTTACTAAATAATTATAAGAAAACATTGTATACAAGATAATCATTATTATTAAATAGACATGAAAAAAAGTTAAATGTTAAAAAATTATTTTCAAATTTTTTGACAGAATTTTTTTGACTTTGAAAGTCAAGGTTGCCAAATTAAATTTTAAATTTTACACCAAATTATTTACAGTCATCCGATATTTACGTTTTTACTTGAAAAACACTTAGTAAAGGCAAAAATAAAGACTTAATTGGAAGTTTTTTTGGTTTGTTTTAAACAAAATCCTGCAACTAACACAATTTTCAACCATATTTTGCATTTTTCGTCCTATTTTTTTGACAAAATTTTACTCAAAAAAAGTTAAATCGAATGAAACAACCGAAATAACATCAATTTAAATTGTTTTTCTTCAGCGAGACACGCTAAAATAATATCAATTTTAATCTAATTTGGTAATTTTTTAGTCATTTTAGCAAAAATTTAAAAACGTTTTAAAACACTCTACAGGTGCGCCAGAACTCGCGCCCCAGAGAAAATTTTCAAGTAAGGTAAGATACTAGGAACATGAAAAAAATGTTTAAAAAATTCTATCTGTCAAAAAATTTTGACATTTATTTTTTGACATTTGACATTTTTTTATATCTATTTAATGATACTGATGATCTTGTATATGTTTTTTACAATTATTTAGTAAAGGGACAAAAATTTTCCCAATAAAAGCCACAAATAACATTGAAAAGAGTTACAATTTAGGATACAGCTTCCTTGTTTCCTCTTTTAATAGCCTATAGCAAAAAAACTTGAAAAATTATTTTTGCAACAGAAATAAATAGAGCCAAAGTGCAAATTTTAAACCCTCATAATTTCAAAAGTTTTATAGATAAAATTTTTTAACATTTTTTCCATGTTCCTGGTATCTTACCTTTTATGGCATTTTTCTCTGGGGCGCGAGTTCTGGCGCACCCTGTATAAATGCAAAAATAACACTAGTTTTGTCTAAATTTAATAAATTTTTGGTTTGTTTTTAACAAAATTTTGCAAAATAGTTCTGTTTCTGACTAAAAACATACTAAAACACTCAGAAATGAACAAAATAATGTGCTTTTTGTCTCACTTTTTACCTTGTTGAGAGAAATAACATTTAGAAAAACAAAACTATCTCTCAAATAAGTAGAGGCAAAGTGCAAAATTTAAACTCTCATAACTTCGAAATTTTTATAAAAAAAAATAAAAAATAAAATATTTATAAATATTTTTTTTTACATTTTTTACATGTTCCTGGTATCTTTTCCTACTTGAAATTTGTTTCTGGGGCGCGAGTTCTGACACACCTTGTATGTTAAAAAAATTGACATTTATTTTCTGCCATTTAACTTTTTATGTCTATTTAATGATACTCATGATCTTGTATATGTTTCTTTATAATTATTTAGTAAAGGTGCAAAAATTTTGCCAGTAAAAGCCACAAGGATACAGCTTCCTTGTTTCCTCTTGCCTCTTTTAATAGTATCAAAAAACTTGGAAAATTATTTAATTATTTTTCCAACAGAAAAAATAGTATCAAAGTGCAAAATTTAAAATCTCATAACTTCGAAATTTCTTTTGCATGTTCTTCGTATTTTAGGCATTTTTCTCTGGGAAGTGAGTTCTGGCGCACTCTGTATATGTTTCATATTATATTCTTACATTATTTTTTCTACCAAGTCCTACAACAAAATAAAAAATTAAAAATCTAGTGTTATTATTATCGAAAAACTGTTTACCTCACTCTCATCTCCGAAACTTCTTCCCTACAAAATTTGCAACAAAAAATATTTAAACTTTGGTTTCTAATACTTTATTCTTACTTTAAATGAGTAGTCAAGTGTCCCAGATAAAATGGGGTTATTTTTGTGGTAAATGATTACCTCGTCGGGGGCACATGTAGCAATAGTGGAAGCACAGAGAACTAGAAAAATAAGACTATACTTCATTTTTATTGTCAAAATAAAACTAGTTTTTTGAAATGTGTTGCTTTTTTATGCAGAAATATGTTTAAAACTTCTATAAAAGCTAGAATATTATTATTGCAGAATTTTTATTGTAACACTATTAAAAAGGTGATTTATTGTTTGATGATGTAATTATAAAATACGTTATTCGATTTTGTTGTTTGTATAATTTTGCATAAAGGATACAAAAATAAATGTGCGTTTATATTATTTTGTGTTTTCTAAAGGTTCAATGCTAGTTTATTCCTATTTTTGCACTATAGAGGTAATAATTTTTATTATAAAAGTTCAAAACTTAATTTATCAAAAGGTGATTTGTTTTTAATACGTCAAAATAATAAATAGCTTGGATATGAAAATAAAATTTTATTATTTTTTTGTGTTTTTATTCGGTTTTAGAGAGAATGTTATAACTTTATAATGAAAATTTTAATACTGCTCCTGCAATTAGTACTCTAATAAAAAGCAATCATTTTTTTTTATAAATATGGCTTTTAGAATTTGTAAATTATTCAGTTTTAATCAGAAATTGAAAAATGAAGTTTTGTTTTAGCCTTTTACTACTCAGTGTTTGCACCACTGTAATGGGGATGGCTTTTGTAAGTGATTAAAATTCAAATTTTTTATTTAAAAATGTTTTGTTTACAGAATGGTGGCAGAACTGGCGTTTCAGAAATTGAATCAAGGGTAAAAAGCATTTAATTATTTATTACAAGTAAGGGGATTTTGTTTACTGTATGTTGCAGAGGTTATTTGAAGGGGGGAAATACGCAAGGTAAATACCTAAAATTAAAAAAATTATTTAAACATTTTTTTGAGCTTAGGCTAAAGCGTCATACGCGACAAGCAGAGTGGAGTTTTCGAAAAGCCGTGAGTAAGAAAAATTATTTGAATTAAAAATTTTAGATTGTGTTTTAGGAGGATACACTTGTGAGTATAATTTGACAATAATTTTAGGTTTTTTATTTTTTAGTTAACTTTAGGGACTAGAAGATTCAAAGTCGCAACTGTAAGTATTAATTTATTGAAATTCTTTGCAATATAGTTGTTTTTATTTTCTAGAGGAGAAGAAAAGTATAAAAAATTAATTGATTCCGTAAAGTATGTATTGAAAACAAATATTTTCATTGAGTAATTTTGTTTCTTAATTAGGGAATATGTTAATGGACTAAAAAGTCTACCGAATAAAATATTTAGTGGCATAAGTGTAAGAAACTAGAATATATTTTTTAATTAATTACTTTATTATTTATCTATTGTAGGATAACGTAAAAAAGGCACAGGAAGTAATGTGAGTTTTTATTAATTTTTTTGTAATATCGACGCAAAACTAAATTTTAATTTTTTTAGGGAGAATAAAGTCATTCAACCTTTAACAGGCCATATAAGGTATGAATTTAAACTATTCCAATCTTTTATCAGATTCTTTTATTAGGGACTTTGTTAACGGAGTGAAACAATTAGGCGAAAACGCAGGGTAAGGGCTAATTTATTAGACTAAAAGTAAAGTCATTTGCTTTTTTATTTTTTTATTTGTTGTTTGAAAAACTAACCAAGACTTTTTACAGTGAAAAACCAGCAGCTGATGGAAAACCGGCTACGAAATAAGAAGAAAAAAATATTGATTTAACTTGTTTTTTTTTGAATTGAATTTTTTGCAATTTTTATTAAATTAAATTGTATTATTTACAACTATGTATAATGTTAAAAAAACAAACATTTGTAATAAGACAAGTACTAAAACTATTAAAGAATTAATAGAAACATCTAACCAGTGTATTATTTTTTTTATCTGTATTTTTTTTGTTTTCTGGTTTATACAAAACTTGATCTTTGATAAAAACGCAGGTTTTATTCTAGTTTCTATATTTATTTCAGAGTACAGAAGTAGTAATTTTTATATTGTAATACTACCAAAAGGAGGTGATTTATTTTTTATACTTACATAAAAGCAATACATAGTTTGGTTATAGAAAAAATAATAGAAATTTGAAAGCCCGATGTTAGGAGGGTTTTTAATTTTTTCAAGGCTATAATCGACAGTTTATAGTTCCAAAATACAATAAAGTAACAAAAATAAAATTTACAATTGTTTTATTTCAATTTTTGCGTTTTATTTTCTTCATTGCAATATCGATTTGTTTTTAAAATGATCTTTGCTTCAAAAATGCATCAACATTTGGAAAATAACTTACCTTATAGATCAAGATGTAGAATACTTAAAATAGCATAAAGAAAATATCTGCTATAATATTTTTATTGTGTTTCTTTTGATTGTAGGAATAATGTTATAACTTTTTTAATAAAAATCTTGATACTGTTCTTAGAATTAATACCCACTTTAATAAAAATGCTATGGCTTTCAGAATCTTTAAAGCCCGACGTTAGAAGGACTTTTAATTTTTGAGGGTTATAATCGATAATAATTTATCAAATAATTTTAAATTGCATTTTGCTTTTATCAAATAAGAATTTAATATTTTTGTCAAATTATGTATACTATGTGATTTTGTGTGTTATAATTGGTTATAAAAAAAACCAAAGGCCTATAAAAGCAAAATTATTCCCGTTTTTGGGTGCTTAGTAACAAGTTTATAGTTCCAAAGTACAATAAAGTAACCGAAATAAAATTTTACAGTTGTTTTATTTCTTTTTGAGTTTTATTTTTTTCATTGCGACATCAATGTGTTTTTAATGATTTTTGCTTCGAAAATGGATCAACATTTGGAAAGTAACTTATCTTCTAGATCTAGATGTAAAATACTTAAAATACATAAAGAACATGTCTGCTATAATATTTTTTATTGTTTTTTTTGTGTTTTTATTTGGTTTTAGAGAGAATGTTATGACTTTTTAATGAAAATTTTGATACTATTTTTGTAATTAAGACTTTAATAAAAATGCAATCATTTTTTTGTATAAATATGGCTTCCAGACTGTGCAAATAATTCAGTTTTAATCAGCAAACGAAGAATGAAGACAGCTTGTTTGACCTTTTTACTACTTGGTATTTGCTCCACAGTTATGGGGATGGCGCTTGTAAGTAATTTAATAATTCAAATTCTCAATTTATTAAGCGTTTTTATTGTTAAAAGACATTTTTGCAACGTGTTCTATTTACAGATTGACGATGGAACAGGTGCTTCAGATATCGGATCAAGAGTAAGAAGTTTCTTAATTAGGGAATATGTTAATGGACTGAAAAATTTGCCTAAAAATATATTTGACAGCTTAAGTGTAAGAAACTGAAATTTATTTATTTTTTAAATTAATTAATTAATTTTTTGATTTACTTACTGTAGGTTAATGCAAAGAAGTTGGAGGAAGTTATGTGAGTTTTTATTAAAATTTTGCTGGTAAGCAAAACTAATTTTTAATTTTTTTTAGGGAAAATAAAGTCGTTAAACCTTTAGCAGGCCAAATAAGGTATGTATTAAAATTAATTTTATCTTTTATCTGCTTTTTTTAGTAGGGACTTCGTTAACGGACCACAAGAATCACTAACTAAATCACTAAATGCAGGGTAAGTGTTAGTTAGACCAAGAGGAAAGTATGTTTTTGAGACTTTTTTTTTCAATTTTTATTTAAAAAACTAACCAAAAATTTTTGCAGAGGAGCTACTGTTAGTGGAAAACCTGAGGCTGATGGAAAATCAACTTTATCAATATAAGATATAAGATTTGTACAAAACTAGAAGAAAAATAAACACAAATAATATTGTTTAAAAACTGTTTTTTGATTTTTTTATAATCATAAACTTAATTAAATTTAAACTATTTACAAGTCGATTTGCAGCAATTTTCAAGTGATAATTTGAAAACTAAAAAAAGTTAATAAACTGGTTGTATTAATTCATTGTTTAT